ATGGGAAATGGGGAGGAGGCGGAAATTTTTTTCCAACAACTAAAAAAAAAATAAAATATTATTTTATAAAGAAAAAAAAATGAACTTTCAAAATCCAGAAACACCCAAAATGTGCAATGCATGTGTTCCTAAGCATTTCAGATGGAAGACATTTGCATACAGATGTGTTTCATTTCAGCATCCCCGTCACCATGGTACTCTGGCTCACATTCACCCTGCACCCCATTGCATCTCTCTCTCACACAACTGTGGAAGGATGACCATATGACTTTGTATCTGAGTTATAGGAAGCAAAATAAGCAGCACAAACATCACTGGAATGAAAAAAGCGTATCACTTGTTGGGATGCAGCACGGCTTGCCCAAAGCCTTGTTCAGTCGTGTTAATGTTGCTGGGGTCACTGCACAGGACAGTCTGCTATGTCACACACAAGAATGAACTTTCTGTCTCCAAGTTCTTAAGTCACAATCAACTAAGAAATCAGGAACTATCCCCCAAAGTCAACAGGCCAACTACACTATCCACTATATTGCCTTTGATGAGTCACCAAAGATAGTTACTGATGTCACTCAGATTACAGCAAGACCACATTGAATGACCTGATTAGCCATACTTCTTCCTTAACTGAATTGTGCTACGGATCAAACCCAGGCCTTCACTCCTGATAGGAAGAACTCTACCAACCAAGTACAACCCCAGCCCAACTTCCCCCTTAGAGCAAAGGACACAAGTGTTCTCCCTTGTCGCTAAAGGCTTTCTTCTAAAATCGACACCCCAACAGGCTGTGCTTCCCAGGCATATGCACTTCCATGAGAAGGATGGAGAACCAGGATTGCTGAGAAGACTATGGTACCAGCCTTGGCAGAAATGCTTTTCTCCAGACACTCTTTCAGCTCCATGTTGCCCATCTAGGACCAGGTGTCAATACACAAGGCTTCCAGAAGGAGGGCTTGGAACTGGGTTCCTACATGGTGGGTATCACTTCTAGTTCAAGACCAGCACCACAGCAGAGGTTTTTCAAAAACCAAATCAATTCCCCTGTTCCAAATAGAACTGGCTCAGAATGATGCCAGCAAAAAAAAAAAAAAAAAAAAAAAAATATGGAAACTAAGATCTTTTTTAATGGCAAAGGTCTAAACTCAGGCTTTTGGGTAGAAACAAGCTCTTAATGCTCCTGCCAACTCAAAACGAGTGGTAACTTCATCCAGGCAGCCAGAAACTCACCTCCTCTTTAGACTCACTGTTCTCTCGCTCCCGAGGCTCCTGTTTGACGTGTGTGACCATGGCAAAGGCGGCCCGGTCATGGCTGTCGGCCAGGTTGATGACATTGGTAATGGATGGAAGCATAGCTCCCTGGCAGCTGGTACCGATGGCCGTGCTCTTCTCACACACGGCCAGGAGGAGCTAGAGGATCACGGGAAAGAAGACCATTTTAAAGCCGACGCCTGGCACTGGGAGTGTGTGAATACCTAGACATCAGAACAGACACAGACAGACAGTGCAGGCCCACAACCCAGGTCACAGCACCCAACCCAGGTCAGCTGCAGGCCTGAACTTGCTTCTCAGTTGATCCTCCCCTCTGCCGCAGAGACCTCACCCAGGCAGAGCCCTCTGCTTCACTTCCTTCTGCCGTTCCTTCTCACTTCAGGCGGCACAGCCCCCAGTCCAGCCAGGGAGCCTCCTAGGCCATCATCAGACCCCCTCTCTCAGAATCATCTCTCTGCACACAACCAGCCCCATGACTCCTTCTCTCTCCGAACCCCGCAAAGACTTTGTATAGCTGCAGAGAACCAGCCCATACTCTTCGGGGACCGAGAACACCTAAGATCCTCTGTGATGTGCTATCACCCTTGATTGCCTCTGTGGTCCCCTTGTGTTCTCAGCACTTCCTGAGGACATCTGCAGTGTAGCAGCCCCTGCAGATCACTACAGGGCCACTGCTTATGCTGCCCCAGGTACTGAGAAACCATCAATTCTTCATAAACAGGACCCATGGCAACCAGCTGTCACTGAGGTCCATCCAGAACAGTTCCCTTCGATTCATTGAAAGATGAATTTAAGAACTGTTTGCTGCAGCTGTCTCCGAGGGGAAAGCTGGTCTCACTCTCTCTAGATGGTGTGAGTCTGCTAAGCACTAGTAACCCGACAAACCAGCAGCCTGTGCCTGAAACCTGTGAGCAAGAGTGGCCCAGGAGCTCCCTGTGATCCTCACGGCAGACTTCCCTCCTAGGGAAAGAGCAAGCCCTCTGCAGGCTCAACTTCACGGACCGCACATGCCTGCCTGCTGCTGCCCCAGGCCCAAATCCTCACACCAAGGACCCCAAAGCAACAGCACTGGCAAGCTGCCCACACTGTTCGTGACTGAGGAGATGACAACCTCAATATCCACTCAACTTTTGAGACAGATGAAATTTAAAGATGTTTCTAAGTGAAGATGAAGGAGTTATCTGCCCACTAAAGTTTCTTCTGGCTTTCTGATACAGGTTCACAGTAAGATGAGAAATGTTGTCTTTAAGTCCCTACTTCTAATTATCAGCAAGGCCTGTTTGTCTCCCCTGCAGTGGGACAAGAACAGGTGCATGACGGGATATTTCTATACCTCCTTATATTGTAGGACGCAGTGATTTCATGAGAACGATCCCCATAGGCTCACATGTTAGAATGCTGGGTCCCCAGTTAGTGGAACTGTTTGAGAAGGATTAGGAGGTGTGGCCTTGTTGGAGGAGATGTGTCACTAGAAATGGGCTTTCAGGTTTCCAAAGACTTTTGCCATTCCCAGTGTGCTCTAAGCCTTGTGGCTTGAGGTCTGTGAGCTCTCAGCTGTTCCTGCTGCAATGCCTTAGCTATACCTTGTGGACTGTAACCCTCTGGACCATACACCCAATTTAATGCTTTCTTTCATAAGTTGCCATGGTCATGGTGCTTTCACACAGCAACAGAAAAGTGACCAATTCACAGGATAACCTGCTGCCTTCTATGTCTCCTCAGAAAACCCCCAGGCTCTCTCAGCCACAGAAGTTGAGTTTATCCACTCTACCTCAATGCACTGCTTGATCCAGAAATGGCTTCCCATGGCTTCCCAATTCTGGGAACAGGTGATATACAGCAGGCGCTCATAGACACGGCGTTTTATAGAGTTGTCAAAAACCTCGAAAAACTTGGCCCTGATCAATGGCTGGGCACAACGAAGCCCAGACAGAAAGGCGGGCTCAAGCTTTGCAGTCAGCTCACTGCCAGAAAGTGCCTCATCCCTGCAATGACAGGAGGTAAGAGAAGACGTAAGAGCCAGGGGATCACCCAGATCAGTGTTCACGACGATGTATACCAGCTCCCCCAAACCAACTCCGCTGGAACACCAGGGTGTGTTTCCACCATGAAGGCTTGAGCAACACTTCTGCAAGGGCTCAGAAGTGCTAGCAAGGGTGCTGCTGAGATGGGTCAGTTAAATCATTAGCTGTACTTCCAGGAGTCAGGCTCGAGTCCCAGAACCCACATGGCTGCCTACAGCCCTTTGTAACTCCAGTTTCAGTAGATCTGATGCCCTCTTTTGGCCTCCAGGGATACTGCATATATATACATCCAGGCAAACACCCACATATACAAAATAAATCTTTTTAAAAAAGACAAAGAAATGCCATTAAGGTATGTCACCCTAATATCAAAGTGAGTACTCAATTTAGACACAAGTACAAGATTGAAGTCATATTGTACTGCCGAGTGGAAGACCACACTACGAACCCACAGGCAATGTGACCAGTGCTGATTACCTGTAAACATAGTTAACAAGGTCCAAAAACTGGGCATTTAGTTCAAGGTCTTCTGGGAAGCGTTTCTCTATGTAAGTCATCATTTTCACGAGCAAGATCGACTTCTCCCGGAGTGTAGGTGTCTACAAAATCTGTTTCCCCAAAGAAAGTGCCAATTACCTCTACTTGAAAAACCACAGATCCAAAAGCATTTCACAGCCACCTTCCCAACTCTCCACGCTCCCATTATTTTAACAATAACATTATTATTTACTGCAATAAAGCCAGTTCATTTTTAAAGAAAGAAAAAAATCAAAGGTGGTTGTGATTATCCTTGGGTACTCAAAAAGTCAAGACACAACAATAAGCATCTTCCCCACCATGACTCACTTTGGAAACGAGTCAGAAGCTGCCAAACCCCCTCCTTCGTGGCAGGCTCTCACCAGCAACAGCATTTCACAGCTCACCTCCACCCCATTAAAGACTAAACTCACAAATAAGATCCACACAGCGTTTTTGGTCAGTCTATCTGCTTGGCCTGCTCAGGGAACTCCTGATCAAGCTAAGCTATGGTGGAGACAATCCATCATTGCCCTTATTCCACATGGGTCAGGAAAAAGAGTAGGAGGGGACTGCTTCCACATTCCTGGGTGTCGGAGAAAGCCAACCCGGCAGCTTACCTGATTGGCTGCCATTGGGGAATTATTCTTAACCCACTCCTCCACGATCTTCACCACAGCTCGGAGGATCTTGGCATCTGGGGATTTCTCGATGAGGGAGGTCAGGATGGTCTGGATGAAGTTCTTCCGCATCTCCATGCTCATCACCGCCAGCCGAGTCTTCACAAGCTCCAAGCTCAGCATCACCAGCTCACTTGTTCCAGCTGTGCAGAGAAAGGACAAATACCTGGGTCCAATCCCTACAGATGCACTTAAAGGAGCCACTGCCCTGCAAAAACTGCTTACGAAGATTTTCACTCTAGGCCTTTTCTGAAATGTTACTTCTTTAACACTGCATCTTGCAAAGTACCCTCTAGCAGCCCCAAACATAAGAATGGGGCGGCGGGGGGGGGGGGGGGGGTGACAGAGTTGATGGAGCCTGCACAGGCACCCCAGCCTCTCCACATCCTACATGAAGCGACTTGGCACTTGGGTCCTGGGGGAGCCTTCAGCAGCCATGGGAAACAGAGCACACTGCTACCGCTCTCCCCTCCCAGTTGGTAGGAGCCTGACATAACTCTTCAGACACAGGAATTCTGATTAGGCACTTTGTCGTAAAGTACTCCGATAGATAACTGTGGTTGTGAAGGTTCACATGGACTTGCCACTTTCGGTTGCTTTTCATTCTTACACCCTCAAATTTTAAACTTGATTTTTGGTCTAAGCCATGTTTTGACTTTAAAACTCTGCCACAAGAGCCTATTATCCCAACTTCACATTAACCGATGTTCACGGTAGTGTTCAAACACAGCCTGTACTGCCCAGATGACCCCCCAAAGTCCGTGGAGTAAGAACACCAGTCCCAGGCTGTCACCTGCAGTTGCTTCAGTGCTCCCAGATGCTGCCTGAGGATTTAAATGCTCTCGGACCATCTTCTGGAGGGAGCGCATAAAGACAGAGATCAGCCTGTCGATGTAGCTTGGGTTGTTGCAACAGGCCGACTTGAGGATCATAAGTGTCCCTGCAGGGCAGGAATAGCAGTGATTTTACAAAGACGTAACAGCTGTCCTGGGGAGACAATTCCATCAGTACAGTGCCTGCCTGGCATGCCCAAGGACCAAGTTTGATATCTCATAGCCAGAAATGGGGACGGCAATTGTAATCCCAGCATTGCAGAGACAGAAGACAGGCAGGTCCTGGGCCTCACATACACGCAAAATAACAGCAAAATTAAGTAACAGAAGTATGCTTTTAAAGCCATCAACTCTGCCAACTCTGAAAGCTCCTGCCTGCAGGACACTGTTCACATTCTGAAGCATGAACTGTCACCCTGAATCTTAACTTTGCCCACACTACCCTACCCTCCAGAGTCGACTTCTGCGCTTCAGTACAAAACATGCTTCCCTGCTGGGCGGTGGTGCACACACCTTTAATCCCAGGACTAGGGAGGCAGAGGCAGGTAGATCTCAGTAAATTTGATGCCAGCCTGGTTTATAAAGTGAGCTCCAGGACAGCCAAGACTGTGACACAGAGACACCCTGTCCCTGTCTCAAAAACCAAAAACCAAAAAAAAAGAAAAGAAAAATTCTTCCCTTCAGTTTTGGATCTTAGGCTTTGACAAATTATCCTCTGTAAAGCTTTTTATCCCATGATGTATGGGAGAAGGTAAAACAGGAGCAAAATCCTTAAAAGAACAACAACAACAAAGGTCTAGCCTATCTGAACATGAAAATTTTTAGAATTTATTGCATGCTTCTATGAAAATTGCCCAAGATCAGAACAGGAACACTGAGTGAGATCTTCCACTAGTGAGATCTTTAACATCATCTTGACCATCTTGACCCTGAGAGAACTTGACTCCTACTCCTGGGTCACATCAAAGACCCATCAGAGGGCATCTGTCATTTATAGGTGTCAACATTCCAGGTGTGGACAATTTCAGGCTTGTCCTTGTTTAAATCTGGTTCTGCACAGCAGCCATTGTATAGTCAGCCTGATTTAAAGCCAGGTAACCGAATCCATGCTGAATATGGGATGTGTTGAGGCTGGAGAGATGGCTCAGTGGTTAGCAGCACTTCCAGAGGACTCAGGTTCAGTTCCCAGCACCCACATGGACAGCTCACAATTGTCTGTAACTCCAGCTCCAGGGAACCAGGTACTCTCATACTGACACACATACAGCCAAAACACCAATGCACAAAAAAATAAGTATTTTTTAAAAAGAAAGAAAAAAATGGAATGTATCCTGCTCTGCTCGCCTGTAAGGACATAACAGTGACAGAGCTAAGTTCACCAGACAAGGAGGACCTTGGCACAGCCAATCACCATGAGACACCCCAGCCTGTAGTCACCTACAGAGGGAGGCAGGGCCCATGGGGTCACCCTACAGAGGAGGGAGGCAGGGCCCATGGGGTTCAGCTCTTCTTTGAGCACCTTGGAGAAGGAACAAGCAGAGATGCTCCTTTACCTGTGATAGGAGTCAGAGCACACAAGATAGCCCCACTTAAAGTCACAAAAACCAATCAGTTGGCTCTAGAGCAGCCAGGTGTGAACAGGAAGACAGACTGATTAAGACAAATACACCCAGGCCCTGCGTTTCAGAGAACAGCCAGCCAGTTTAGGAAAGCAGTACATTTCTGTGACATTAGCAACTGAAACCATTTAGAACACAGGTTCAGACACAAGCATTTGTGTAACGAGTGCGGGTTACGGATCTTTTTATGTATAGAAAACAAGATATAGGGACTGGGAAGATAACACACACATGCATAAACGTAAGAAGAAATAAAAACAGGGCTAGGCAGTGGGGGTGCACACATTTTAATTCTGGTACTCGGGAGGCAGAGGCAAGCAGATCTCTGAGTTTAAGGCCAGACTGGTCTACAGAGCGAGTTCCAGGACAGCATGGGTACACAGAGAAACCTTGTCTTGGAAAACAAAGAAACAAAACCACCCCTCCAAAAAAAATTAAGTTAAAAAAAAATACATGCCAACCTATTAGTACTTACTACTAATGAATTGAGAGGTTTATAGGTAACTTTTCTAAGAATATTGATTTTCCAAGTTTTATACAATGACAATATGATAGGGAAAAAATTATGGTAGCAACCCAATTCTAAGGACTAGAGTGGTAAGGGGCAAGGCATCTAAGTTGGACTTCTGGGTATCTGGGGCAGTTATTCAGCTGCCCTGATTATCTAGGTCTGTCTTTCTCGGACACAGCCCAGGAGACAGCAATTCACCCACCAGAGCACGGGCAATCTTCAAGTCAAGAGTGCACTGGGGATGAGCAAAAGACTCAGAGGAGGAAGCACAAGTGATGGACAGAACGCAGAACCCAAGGCAGCAAAGCCCCCCCAGGCTTTCCCAAGACAGCTGTCCAGGGAGCAGGAACCGCAGTCCAAGTGAAGCCCTGCTGGAGTAATCACACAGGTACTCACCGAAGAGTTGCGAGGGGTTGGCATTGGTGGCCTTCTCATAGTTAGTGAGCCCCTCGTAGATGACCTTCCCGACAGCTGCGTAGAGGCACTCCAGCTCTTCGTACTTGGAGGCCACGCTTGAAGTGCCTGCAACGATGTGGGGCAGGGAGCTGGGGTCAGCGCTTTAGGCTGCACAGTCCCATAGATCAAGCTCTAGCTGTGGAGTGGGCAGCACAGAGCCTTTCCTTACACAAGACAGTGTGCGCCTCATGATCACGCCAGTGAAGGCAACTCTCATCCTGACAGCTCTAAGTACACTTAATCAGAACATGCACAATTTCAAGGAACCAGCTGCTCAACGTTCGTTCTGATACCTCAACCTAACTTCCCTTAAATAAATACCTGAAAAACAAATCCAGCAGATGAAGAAATGAATTTCAGAGAAGAAACAAAATAACACGTTACTGCTAAATTTTCAAGTCAAATAATGTTTTAAAAGAGATTGAGAGATTGGTCATGGTGGTGCATGCCTTTATTCCCAGCACTCAGGAGGCAGAGGTATGCAGGTCTCAAGAGTTCGAGACCAGCCTGAGCTACATAGTGAAACCCTATCTCAAAGACAAAACAAAAAAGTAAAGTCAGGAGTAAAACAGAATGTAGTTCTCATTACTGAGCATTTTCAAGCAACAGTCCCAGGCCCAACAGTCTCCGGCAAAGGAGAGGCGTGAGGGAAGGATTGCTTACTTGGCTCTGTAGGGAAAATGCTCATCAGGCGAGAGAGGAGGCTGTGGACGGCTCGCAGCACTTTGGTGTTCCCACAGGTCATGCAGGCGGCGATGCCCCGCTGCAGGGGCTTGAAGCTACTGAGGATGGCTGGTGACTGCAGCACAGTTAGCAGGAAGTTCAGCACTTCCAGTCCTGTGCAGATATTCCCATAGTTCACCTGGTTCGGCTGCTCCTGCAATGGGAAAACAGGCCACTCTCAGGTGCAGTAAGTGGAGAGATGCAAATCCACGGCTTTGAAACTGGATGTCTTCAAGTATTTGGAACGAAGTAAAAAGCCAGTGAAGAATGAAGGTGGGTACCGCTGTCACAGCATGTAGCCACCATACACAGCAGGACTTTTATAAAACTGCATCCTAAACAGAATGTGATCTAAAATTTAGTCAAACCTCTTTAAAATGTCATTAAGTTTGCTCTAAAACGGAAAGGTATTAGAATGCTTCTGTTGACCTACTTACTCAGAATACAAAAATCCAGGCCAAGGCAATGTTTTTCAAATTGTATCATGTAACCAATGTACTAGATGGTGGTATCATTAAAAATAAAACCTGTTTGCAGGAAGCATAGGCATGGCTTCTAGAAACTTCCATTCCTGTAGTTTACACACATCATGTATGTACAGTTAGGTCCCAGCAGTTGCCCGCGAACACGGCAATGCTGTCTGTGAAGTGGGCTATAACCAGAAAGCCAGTGACTTTTTCAGAAGGGCAATGAAGAATTTGGACAGCCATTAAGAATGGGACCTTCGGTTTGTACCATGAGCCCCTTGTAACAGCCTTTTAAACCTATGACAGCAGTGTTTTAATTCTTTGTGGACCCAAACAGCAAATATCTATGCCAGGTCTTTTAAGTCCAAGAGTGAAAGCTTTTGAATTCCATCAAATAACTGGACAAAGGGAATCTGAGATGGCAGTGACAGGATCCAGGCTTTTGCTGCCATCAGAAAAACCCAAGGATCAGGGTTTTCAGGTAAACAAGACACAGAGATAACGCAGAATGGAACCAACTCATCAGCTGCCTACGCTGAGTCTACTCAGGGCTTAGTCCATTGAGAAAATATTTTACAAATTGTTACTTATTGTAAAGAGTGTCAGGTTAGTCAGCCACAACAGTTATACCAAGCCAGCAGCGAAGTCAACATAAGATGTGTAAGAAAGACAGACAGACAGACAGACAGACAGACAGACAGACAGAAAGAAAGAAAGAAAGAAAGAAAGAAAGAAAGAAAGAAAGAAGAAAGGAAGGGGGGAAGGGAGGAAAGGGACGAATAAGGAAAAAAAAGAAAGCAAAGAGAGAAGGAAGGCATGTCTTGAAATATGAAAGACACCACTGATCTAGTCTAAGCACTCTGGCCTGACTGAGAGAAGGTCAGAGCCGTGCTCATCGAGCCACAAGTCAGTAGGCACATCTTAAAGCTCAAGTTTTAGACTCAGGCCCAGCAGAGATGTCCCCAGCCAGGTGACGGCACTGACTGACAGGGCCCATACCTACCACGGTCATCAGCAGCTTGTCAAACCACTGTAGTTTGAGCTCGGACTTGCACCACATATCCGGTCGTAAAGCGGTCTTGAGAAGATTCACACAGCGACGAGAGAGCACCTCTCCAGGTGACCCTGCGGTGTTGGTGTTGTCGTTGACCTACAAAATGCCAAGTGGTTGGTCACTGAACACCAGCTTACAGGTACAGGAAGAGCAGCGACGCTGTTTTCTCAAATGTCCCTGCACCCATGCATCCTTCCACCCATGCTTCCGACAGCTGGTTTTCCTCCTCCCTCTGGGCCTCTTCACCCACACACTCCCACTCCCCTGCAGCAGGGTCTGCAGTAACTGAGAGCAGGGTCTCTACTCCTCAAAGAGGGGTATCTGCACACAGAACCCCTCGCCCTGCAAGGAAACAAGGGATCTCCGGTTGAACACCTCGTGATTCTTCACAATTTGTGCCAATCTCTAGTATTTCACAAAATACAGTATTTTGCTCACAAGTTTTAAGGACTGAGGAACCGAGCCCCAAATGAAGAAAATTAAGTTTTTGAGACTTCAGGTCTTTGGATGTTTTGCCTGCATGTATGTTGGTCTACCACACACATGCCTAGTGCCTGCAAAGGCCAGGAGAGGGGGTTGAATCTTCTGGACCTGGAGTTACAGATGGTGAGTCACAATGTGTACACTGGAAATTAAACAAAGTCTCACGGCACAGAGAGTGCCCTTAACTGTTGAGCCATCTCTATGGCACCACCACTCCGAATTCTTTTCTAAGGAAAATTTCATATTTTGGAATTTCTTTTTTGTAAAACAAAATGACAGGTTTTAGAAATAGATTCTCAGCAACCCTGAGAGAACATAAATACCAGTATGATTGGTGAGTCCAACCTACAAGGAACTGAAAGCTGCACAGATCCCTGCAGATGGCCAACTCAGTGCCATGAGCTATGCACCATCCCCAACTTATATAGCAAAGAAAACAAGGAAGTGATTCCCTTAACTATACCAAGACACTGCAAATTGTAAGATACGTTGGGCTGGGGTGCCTGGGTGGTTAAGGGTGCCTGGCATCAAGCCTGATGACCTGAATTTCCATGTGATAGAAAGAGAACTGACTCTCACATGTTATCCTGTGACTTCTACGTGACATATTGAATACATGGTAACTTTTTTCAAGTCATGCCATTACTTCATTAACACTGAAAGGAGAAATCGGGGGGCAGACATGCCTACCAAAAGAAAGACACAGGTATCCGAATGCGGCACACACCTGTAACTGCAGCATTCAGAAGGTTCAAATAGGAGGAGTGTAAATTAGAGGCCAGCCTGAGATATAGCAAGCTCCAGAAACAGAAGCCAGACATAGTATGAGAACCATCTGGAACCAGGGTGGCAGACACGCTCTCAGGCCCGGTCACAGACTCCACGCTGCAGGGTTCTGCAGTACCATACCTGGCAAGCCACTCGGATGAGGAAGTTTACCACGGTGTCCGTGTGCTGCTTATCAATGGGCTTGGCAAGAAGAGAGTCGGCTCCTGGCAGGGACTGGCTCCTCCCAAACACCTAGGAAAGGACTGTCCTTTAAAGTGGAAAGGGACCCCACAGCCAGCACCTCCCATGGAGTGCAGACTCATCCTGCCAACTGTTCCCAGATTCTGGGCATGAAGGAGTCTGGGGGCAGAGGATCTCTGCTGTGTGAACCTTACAGTCCTGGCAGGGCACATGACTTAATGCACTAACTGGCAGTGAGGCGTGATGACTCATGTGACAGCCAGCCAGAGGGAACATGGCCGTGAAAAGATGGAGCCAGTGGCGAGGGAAGAAACTGACTCTTGGTAGAAACGTTAGCAATAGCAGAATAAGTGCAGAGGAGGCTTGGAGTTTCTGTGCAGGAAGACCTGGGATATGAGCCGCCAGCCCCTCCCTCTACTGCTGAGCTCTACTGGAGCGAGCGCTCCATCACCAGTTGTTCTCAAGCCCCTCTCTGGTAGAGTCTGAGCTGTGCTGCACCCCAGCTTCCTCTTGTGGTCTTTATTGCAAGTAACCAGCAGACTCCTGATGGTATAAGCCAGTGAAGAGGAATGTCAGAAAACGGGAAAGACCTCCAGGAAGTGCTGTGCCCTGGGATTATTCTAAATTCCCAGTTGTCTTTTGAGTAGTTGGCTCAAGAATGCTCAAAAAAGAGCCGGGCGGTGGTGGCGCACGCCTTTAATCCCAGCACTTGGGAGGCAGAGGCAGGCGGATCTCTGTGAGTTCGAGACCAGCCTAGTCTACAAGAGCTAGTTCCAGGACAGGCTCCAAAGCTACAGAGAAACCCTGTCTCGAAAAACCAAAAAAAAAAAAAAAAAAAGAATGCTCAAAAAAAACAGGGTAATATAGGCAGAGTCCCAGGAGGACAGTGGGTAGCCCCAAGGAAAGCGTAAGTTCTTACTGCACTGATGGCCCCGGTGGCTGCCCTGAAGCGTTTCACCTCCTGCGCAGAATCTACAGACAGTCCTCTCTTAATGGACGACACAGAGTTGACACCCTCTCCACTAGAGTTTGGGTCCATGTCAGAATCCGGCTGGAAAAAACAGACACACCAGATTTTACTGCCCGACTACCAGCAGACATGTAAGGAGCCCAGAGAGAGGTGATGGCAAAGGTCAACAGCCCTACCTGCTGGTCCTTGATCCTCTGCAGTTCCCACTTGATAACAACCTCAGACAGGTCCACAGCCAACCGTCTCTGCTCAATGGTGACGCTGGGAGTGAAACCCAGCCTCTGCATGGCACTGACCATGTGCTGTACCAAGTGGTGCCGCACCGGGTAATACACCTGCAGACACAGGGGCCAACACCACATCAGTATTCCTATGGTGAGAGTAGGGGCTCGAAGCCAGTGTCTGAGGCTGCACCACACACGTCTGCCGTCCCTTTACATACTTTAAAATGCTGCACGATGAGGTGAAGAATGTGCACCAGCTGTGGAACCGTGTGGCCTTCCTCCACGATGATCTTCCTGGTCCAGTGCGTCAGCATCTGGTGTCCATCCTCCATGCGGGCTGGCACCGCTGGGGTCAAAATGGCCATTGCTTGTCTCACGATCGCGCGGGCTTCCATTGCGTGAGCCTTTAGAAGACTGTGGAAAACCTAGAAAAAGAAAAGTTAGTTCTAGGGGATCTGATGCCCTCTTCTGTTCTCTGTGTACACTGCACAGACATGTGTGTATGCGTATGTATGTCCTGCACATATATGTAAACACATGCGCACATTTATCATGTACACACACACGCACGCCAAAATCTCATACATAAACGATTTTTAAGGTTGTTTCATAGGAAGGTCAGATTTAGAAGCCTATGAGTCAGCACAACAAAAGCCACACAAGCCTGACAACTGAGTTTCATCCCTAGAATCCACACAAAGAAAAAGATATCAACTCACGATGTGGTCTTCTGACTGACACGTGTGCTGTAGCATGTAAGCGCCCCCACATACATCTCTCTGTCTCCAACACACACATACACACACACATGAACAACAAAGTAAAATTAACAATGCAAAAGAATCAGAAAGTCACATGCCCTGAGCAGGGGTGTCTGAGGAGACACGAACAAGGCTGAAAAGGGGCAGAGCAACTAGGGAGAGCAAGCATCCTGGGATAGGGGTTCACACTGTGGAGTTTGCCTTTAACACCCTCACAGTTTTTCAGTGTGAAAAACCACACACCAACACAGATTTTCAGTGTGGTAAATACATACTGACCAAGTGCACCCCTTGGTTATAAACACTGGTGATGCTCCAACAGAGGCAGGAGTGATGGGGGAAGTCCTCCTGTATGTGTTGCTTTACTGGTTGGTGAATGATGTTTTGGCCAATGGCTTAGAGTGAAGGCAGGTGGGAAATTCAAACATAGATATATAGAGAGAGTAGGCGGAGTCAAGAGACGAGGAGACAGATGCCAGAACCTTACCCAGTAAGCCACAGCCTCGTGGTGATACACAGATGGACAGAAATGGGTTAATTTAAGATGTTAAAGTTAGCTAGAAATATGCATGAGTCATTGGCCAAACGGTGTTGTAATTAATATATTTTCTGTATGATTATTTGGACGTCCCAATCTGGATGGCTGGGAATGAAGAGCAGTCTCCATACTACACAGGAGGATCCCTGCAAGTTCCAGGACAGCCTGGGCTAGAGTTAGAACCTGTCTCATGAACTCCTGGGTTGTGCTCCTCAGTCCCTGTCATCCTCAAGTATTTTGTTTTCTACAATTTTGAGTATTTATTAAGATAATCCACTATTTTTAATAAGGCAGGAATGGGTGCCTCCCCATTTTTTTTTTAAATTTTTAGTGGCTTTGAGAAAAAATGAGAGGAAAGGAGCAGATGAGACTGTCCAGAGAACACGGAGTACCCGTGGGGGAAGAGATAAAAACACGAGAGACAGGAGGGCGTCCTGTGAGGCACCTGGAGGACGATTTTCTTATGGATGGCGAATTTGGCAATGATGTGTGCCAACAGCAGGTGCCCGCTGTATTTGCAGGCAGGATCCACACAAGCCTTGGAGAGCAGACAGGGCCACGCGAAGGTCATCAGACGGCGCAGTTTGCTGTTGCGGTTCTTGTTGTTGTCATGGATGTGGTGGGGCGCATGCTCCACCAGCAATGTGGCATACTGCAGGAGGTAGATACGCAGGGAATCCAGCATATCTGCTTGTTTCTCAGGGTCCAGGACCTGACACTAAAGCAGGAACTCACTTTAGATTTTTATTATGATCATACAAGTCTTATCCTTAAAATTAGACCTTAAAAATACTCTTTTGGGATCTGGAGAGATTGCTCAATGGATAAAGACACTTGCTGCCAAGGCTTACAACCTTAGTTGAAGTCCCATAAACCACATGGTAACCTCAAATTGTCCTCTGACTTCCGTTTGTCTGTATGCATACACAGACACATGTGATACAGACATATACACATCTGGTGAGGGTAACCCCAAGAATCTTATTCCCACAAACCCCTACCACAGGCATACACATTTACCCATCTGCAGGGGTTCGCCACACAGAGGTGCTCCTGGGGACACCACCTTGGTTATAAACACACTGGTAATGCTCTCTGGGTTGTCTCCTTCTGGATTAGGAGGTCCTAAGAGCTGTTCTCCTTCCCCCTTCTCAAAGCTGTACAAGAAAGCAGGATTCAAGATATGCTGCAGAACCTAGGGAGTGAAAAACACAAAGCAAAACAGCTGTACAAACTTCTATTTAGGGGGTGTGTGCAAAGCAGAAGCATCCTGCACCATCAAGTACACTTGCCCAAGAGAGCAACTGTTCATCTTTGACTTCTAGCCAAATGCCAACTGCCAGGGGAAGCCTGAAACTTCAGGAAGAGTGCCAACCTCAGTCTGGCTTTCTCTCCTTCCTCAGACAAGTTATTTCTAAACACATGGCAAGGCACACTGGTTCATGCAATGGCTTCAGCAAGACCACTCATCAGGCCCACGATACGAGCCTTTGCAGAGCTGCGGCTCATTAGGAACAGGAGCTCCAGCACCTGCTGCCACCTCCTGTCTACAATGGGACTTACCTTTGCTTTCAGCTCATCTCCAAAGTTGGGGTCATTAAACTCTACGAAGCGGAAGAAGAGGGCACGCTTTTGAGCGATGCTGTAATTTTTGGGGATCTCTTCTTCCATATACTCTTTCAAGAAGGTCATGTTGCAGAGGAAGCGACCAGTGAAGGCTCGGAGTAGCTGGAACAGCAGCTCTATATCTCCATAGTTCCTTCTGAAGGGCCAGGACAAAGAGGAGGTTGGTGTGAGGTTAATTCTATAACTATACATAACTCAGACTTGTGCCTTTTCAGTTTCCTTTTCCATTTTTCAACTTGTGTGGCATGCATATGTGTAGGCATGATTTTGCCAGAGTGTAGGAGGACCAAGGTTGATGTCTGGAATCGTCTCAGATTGTTCTTCTATTTTATTAGTGGAGACAGTCTCTCTCAATCAAACCCAGAACTTACTGATGAAGGATAATCTTGCTAGCTAGTTTGCCCTGGGGTTCCTGAATCTGCTCTCTGCCTTCTAAGGCATGAATTACAAGCAGGCTGCCACACCAACCTAACATTTCTATAGGTTTCTGGGGATCTGAACTCAGGTCCTCATGGGTCCACCCTCTGTAACAAATCTGACCACACTCTCCAAGGATCCAAAGGCGAGGAACATTAGGGACAAGGCCACAGTGCAGAATTTTGGGCAGAGAGGAGGCCAATGCACCCACTTGCAATAGTTCAGCAGACAGAAGGCCAGAAGCTTGGGCTCTTTCCAGTTGGTGGCAGCCATGTTCTCTTTGCGGTGTCTTTCTTGAAAGTTCTCGCTTACCCACACTCTCCTCAGCTGGCTCACCAGAGAGTGCTGATTGGCCAGCCAGGCGTCATCATTTTTAACTATGATGCTTATGATCTGTAAGGAAGAGGCAAGTATCAGGGACCTGCAGCTCAGCTGAGCGAAGGGGCTTTGGGCTCTAATGCAGATACCCTACCTTGATGGCCTGGAACTGGAGGTCCAGGCGCATGTTACTGGTGCTGGGTGAGCCAGGGCGGACTGCCGTCTGTGCTCCACCAGGCAGCAGCAGGGTGATGAACCTGTTGGGGTTTGCTGCCAACACGTCCCTCAGAGGTCTGGCATCTTTATGTTTTAAGAAACTCTGAAAGCAAAAGAATGAAGAAGCTGCTTGGATCAGATCAAACTCACAAAGGTGGGAAGATACAATTTCTTCCATTCCTGGTTGGTCATTTCTTCAAAAAGGCAAACAAAAACAAAACATGGCACCTTTTTAGAAAAGCTGTTGCTGGCTGTGAGTGGTGGAGCTCAGCTTTAATCCCAGCACTCACGAGACAGTGAATAGCCAGTCCCAAAACAGCTAGGGCTACATTATCCCCTCCAAAAAGTTAAAAAAAAAAAAATTAAAAAAAGATACTGGACTGGAGATAGTGCCTAGCTATTAAAAGCACTTCTGTTCTTCCTTCCAGAGATCCTGAGTTCAAATCCCAGCATCCACATGGTGGCTCCCAACCATCTACAACCGGGATGAAGAGATCCCAGGCTCTCTTCCGGTGGGCAGATGTACATGCAGACAAAGCACCCACATACATAAAATAATCTTTATAAAATATTAAAAGATGTTTTTAGGACCAACATTCTAGCTCAGCGGGTAAAGATGCTGGCACTGAGTCTGATGACCTGACTTTGAGTTCTGGGACCCATTGGTAGATAGTGACATCCAATTCCTGAAAGCTGTCTTCTGAACTTTATACATACACTGTGGCATGAACACACGCATAAACACACACATAAACAAACAGTAAGAAAAAAGTGATGGTCCCCAATAGCAATCCTACTTTCTAGTTGTGAATTTATATTTATTTATTTTTAAATTATTTATTTATTTGGTTTTTCAAGACAGGGTTTCTCTGTGTAGCTTTAGAGCCTGTTCTGGAACTCACTTTGTAGACCAGGCTGGCCTCAAACTCACAGAGATCCTGCTTCAGCCTCCTGAGTACTGGGATTAAAGGTGTGCTCACCACTCCACCACCTTTCGGTGGTTATGAATTTATAACTCTAACTGTATTTGTTTGTTACAACCACCAAAATCCTCCCAACCAACTTATGGGTTGCAGCTTTGAAGACATGATTAGATAGCAACCATGTCCCCGACACCCAGACCTCTGAGAAACACAAAGCCAGGATACGCAGAGGTGAAACACAAGTCCGTCAGAGGCTGAGCACACTGGCTGACGGCACTCTGGAGGAACCCACTACAGCCGCACAGGTTCCTACCATGAACATTCGGCTCCACTGGGGGTCATTCAATGTTGCTTCCATCATGAAAAGCTCCACTGTCTGCGAGGGATGGCGCGTCAGAAACTTGATAAGAGGCTCTCTGAATGGGCTGCCCGCCTACAAAACAGAGCAGAAATGCAACCCACACCATCCTTTTCAAAGACCTTCCAGCCATCACCATAGTAACAAGGCAACCCCTCCAATCACACCATAATTAGGTATTAATACCAATATCCTTATACTGTCAAATTTTCTCAATAAAGCATTTTAACAAAATGAGCCAGGCACAGCAGTGCAAAGAATGGCTCCAAGTTTATGGAAAGCCTGGGATATTTAGCAAGTCCTGCAAGTTATTCTTTGACATCCACATTTACACTGTGGTATGTGAGTGCCTACACAACACACAAACAGGCAAAAAAAAAAAAAANAAGGCAAACAAAAACAAAACATGGCACCGTTTTAGAAAAGCTGTTGCTGGCTGTGAGTGGTGGAGCTCAGCTTTAATCCCAGCACTCACGAGACAGAGAATAGCCAGTCCCAAAACAGCTAGGGCTACATTATCCCCTCCAAAAAGTTAAAAAAAAAAATTAAAAAAAGATACTGGACTGGAGATAGTGCCTAGCTATTAAAAGCACTTCTGTTCTTCCTTCCAGAGATCCTGAGTTCAAATCCCAGCATCCACATGGTGGCTCCCAACTATCTACAACCGGGATGAAGAGATCCCAGGCTCTCTTCCGGTGGGCAGATGTACATGCAGACAAAGCACCCACATACATAAAATAATCTTTATAAAATATTAAAAGATGTTTTTAGGACCAACATTCTAGCTCAGCGGGTAAAGATGCTGGCACTGAGTCTGATGACCTGACTTTGAGTTCTGGGACCCATTGGTAGATAGTGACATCCAATTCCTGAAAGCTGTCTTCTGAACTTTATACATACACTGTGGCATGAACACACGCATAAACACACACATAAACAAACAGTAAGAAAAAAGTGATGGTCCCCAATAGCAATCCTACTTTCTAGTTGTGAATTTATATTTATTTATTTTTAAATTATTTATTTATTTGGTTTTTCAAGACAGGGTTTCTCTGTGTAGCTTTAGAGCCTGTTCTGGAACTCACTTTGTAGACCAGGCTGGCCTCAAACTCACAGAGATCCTGCTTCAGCCTCCTGAGTACTGGGATTAAAGGTGTGCTCACCACTCCACCACCTTTCGGTGGTTATGAATTTATAACTCTAACTGTATTTGTTTGTTACAACCACCAAAATCCTCCCAACCAACTTATGGGTTGCAGCTTTGAAGACATGATTAGATAGCAACCATGTCCCCGACACCCAGACCTCTGAGAAACACAAAGCCAGGATACGCAGAGGTGAAACACAAGTCCGTCAGAGGCTGAGCACACTGGCTGACGGCACTCTGGAGGAACCCACTACAGCCGCACAGGTTCCTACCATGAACATTCGGCTCCACTGGGGGTCATTCAATGTTGCTTCCATCATGAAAAGCTCCACTGTCTGCGAGGGATGGCGCGTCAGAAACTTGATAAGAGGCTCTCTGAATGGGCTGCCCGCCTACAAAACAGAGCAGAAATGCAACCCACACCATCCTTTTCAAAGACCTTCCAGCCATCACCATAGTAACAAGGCAACCCCTCCAATCACACCATAATTAGGTATTAATACCAATATCCTTATACTGTCAAATTTTCTCAATAAAGCATTTTAACAAAATGAGCCAGGCACAGCAGTGCAAAGAATGGCTCCAAGTTTATGGAAAGCCTGGGATATTTAGCAAGTCCTGCAAGTTATTCTTTGACATCCACATTTACACTGTGGTATGTGAGTGCCTACACAACACACAAACAGGCAAAAAAAAAAAAAAAATGACGTTTTCCAGTAATTGTTTTGTTTTTGTAGTTTTTCGAGACAGTGTTTCTCTATGTTGCCCTGGATACCCTGGAACTCACTCTGTAGACCAGGCTGGACTCGAACTCACAGAGCTACCTGCCTCTGCCTCCTGAGTGCAGGGATTAAAGGAGTGAGCCACCACTGCTAGGCTGTTGTTTTGTTCTTTAAAAAAAGACACATGGTGACCACAATCCCAGACAAACACTCCTCTCAGTCTCAATCACTGAAGCTTTTCTTTATAACTAACAACAGCGACGCAGAGACTCGGGCAGCTCAAGGCGCCAAGATTAAGAACGGATGAGTGAGTGCTCAGTCCTAGCAGGACTTTCCCACCCCGAGACACACTGCATAGCCCATGTGGTGGTGATCTCATCAGCAGAGCCTGGCAATAAACCGTCAGCATGGATGCAGGACTATTAGCTACTGATGGATTTCGGGAGATGGGGTGAGCTGGAGGTGCATGATCTTCATGACTGAGATGACTGGTGAGCGCAGGAGGCTCCAGTGCATCGTTTCATGCCTGTGGTCACTAGGTTGGTTCTGGTTAAACTTGATGGGCTACAATAAATAAAGGCACACAGAAAAGGGACTAAAGGTAGGAGGGAGAATTGACAGGAGTGGGGGAGGTAAGAAAGGGTACATAATGCACAGATGTACACGTATGAAATTGGCAAAACCCAAATTCAATTATTTTTTTAAGACACAAAGTCTAAAAACTCAAGAAAAAAAACATCAAAACTAACTAACATCAGCCACACAGCCACAGGTGTGTTTGCCCATGTTCCAGTTCACACGGGTAATTTTAACAGGGTTATCAAAGTGGCCAGGACAAACTCAGTGGATCACAAAACACAACAGAACATAAAGACAACACAACAAAAAACCCCATGAAATTGGTGGGGGATGGAAAGGGGTAGGTATGCTCAGCATGTATTATATAGTGGTGTAGGAGGTCCTTCTGTATTTGTATTGCTTTCATTAGTTAATAAAGAAACTGCTTTGGGCCTGGTGACAGGGCAAAACTTAGGTAGGTGGGGAGACAGAACTGAATTCTGGGAGGAAGAAAGCAGAGTCAGAGAGCTGCCATGGAGACGCCAGGTCAGACATGCTACATCTTTCCCAGTAAGCCATGACCTTGTGGTGAACACAGATTAATAGAAATCAAGATGTTAAGTCAAGATGTGAGAGTTAGCCAATAGGAGGCTAGAGCTAAACGCCAAGCAGTGTTTTAATTAATACAGTTTCTGTGTGATTATTTCGGGTATAAGCTAGCCAGGTGGCTGGAACAAGGGGCCCCGCTCCATACAACAATATAGGGTATAAAACTGTCAAGTAAATACATTTTAAAATAAATAACAGAACAAAAATACTACAAGCAATAGATGGAAGCAAATCAGAATCAATCCTTAGTCAGAATTAACCGTACCTCAATCAGCATGGCGCGCTCCGTCTTCATTACAACCTCTAGCAAAGGTTTGACCAGCGTTTGAGGTGCAGCTGGGATCAGATGGAAAAGGTTTATAATCGCTGAGCAAATCTTCATTTCCTAATAAAGGAAGCCAGAAACCATAAACAGGTCGATCAGTTCTGTGACTGGAGGAGAGTACTCGCTACAGACCCTACTACCGTCTAGCTACATTCACAAGGCTGGCCACCGAAGCAAAGAGTGAACACGGAAAAGCCACAACTTACCAGACCTGTTACATCACAGCTCTGTTTTGTCTTGAGGAAACTCACTGCCCTCGACCTTCAGCTCATCTGTCTCTGGGGGACAGGGCTCAGTGTGCCTCGTGTGTTTACTATGCCTGTTGTTTTCAGGACACTGACAAGTGTCAGAGCTGACCCTTCTCAAGGAGGCACGGTGTGACAGTGCCATCCACTCATCACGTGGATTTCTAAGACATCATGTTCTGAGAGCACAGACTCTGACTGCACCGGCACTGAGCATTTGTCGGCCAGGCTGGAAACAAAGCAGACAAATGGCCATGCTGGGCCCCGTCCGCGTGGGGCCTCCTGAGCTCTGCTCTCTAGCACGTGCACACCATGTACCGGTCTGCTCTGAGGGTCAGCCCCACACCCCAATCTCAGGTCAGGTTTTCTTCTGCTGTGAAGGGATTTCTCCCAGGTCGCGGGGCAAGGGAAGAACCCAGAACGCCACCATGTACCATGTGTGAGTTGTGTCTGGGGCTCCTAGGGATAAAATGGGGATGAGCCTGACGCCAGGATGAGATGGCGCTTAAACATCAATGTAGGAACCAAGCTGCAAATAAATCGCTCAGTATCATCTCACTCCACTTCATATTTAAGTCTTTAAAGAGAGCCTATTCTCTCCCGAAGTAACATTAAAGAATGGTAATTTATGCCACAGAATTTTTTTTTAAAGGTAGGAATATTGAAAAATTCTCCTTTGCTTTCTGTAAGACTGCAAGAAGGCATTATCATCCCCATTTTACAGAGGAGGGAAGCTTGGCTCGACTGTCCAAAGACACAGTGCTGTAACTGTTATCAGTGTGCGGGGGCATGCAAGAGAGTGTGTGTGTGTCTGTGTGTCTGTGTCTGTGTGTGTGTTTGTGTGTGTGAGACAGCTTCTATCTAGTCTGAGGGAACTGGTGAGCCGTCAGTGTGACAGACGGTGTAATCGTTCCCAACTTGTAGCAGGCCTGGATATCCCGTGAGGACTTTCTTCTCAGGAGGCTGCTGGAGGCTTGCGCTTGTCATGGACGCTAGGACAGGGGAGTTTGGTGGGTTTTAGCTAGCACTGAGAGACTGCAATTCTGACACACAGAAAACACGAGAACTTAGGATCTGGCTTAAACGTCCTAATAGAGAACATGCTTGGCATCCGGACAAGTCACAGCAATGATACTACGACAGCTCCGCCACAGACAAGACAGTACAGGTCACCGCACTCAAGGGCACAAGGCACTCTGTCCACTACAGGATCACAACACAGCTAACAAAGTCACGGCAAAACCAAATGCGACAACAACCCCCGCCTGCAGCCGCACTGCAGTTCTCACCTCTACCCCTTCCATGGCAGGCTGAACCAAAACAAAAGTCACAGCATGAAAACACGGGCAACCAAACGGGAAGGAGAAAAGAAAACGGAAAAATCAAAAGTGTTCTTCACATTGCAAGTCATAACTGACTTAGAGAAGGTTGCTCTCACCTCAAACTGACAGAATGGAGACAAGGAACACCTCCCGCACTCTGAAATGCTCTCCTGAGGATGGGGAGGAAAATCATCTTTTTCTATTGATGTCATTGACAGAGAAACTTCCCACACACTCCAACACAGGCAGGGTTATTGGGGTAGCAGGACAGTACAGGCGCGATAAATCAGAAAGCACACAGTAGTTAGACGCTCTGACTCGGAACACGCCTTCCGCCCTCACATGTCAACAGCCCTCGGGCAGGGTTCTACGCTGGGGCTCTTTCCTAAACCACAAGTTAAAATCATGGTTTCAGAATTCTTACAAGGAGAAAAATGGTAAGACTTTGTTGTATGCAAAAGGGCTTTAAAAAGACTTTCTTCTCAGGGTGAATAATTCAGGATTTTATGTCAAGTGCTGAAAGAGTTATAAAAATAAGGATAAATTCTTTCCCAGTTCAGCAGGAGAGAAGCAGGCAGTGCAGCCTCATCTGTCAGGCATGTCTAAGCCCCCAACCCATGAAGAACAGTTGGCCATTGGTGTAACCACCTCCACCCTGGTGTTTGTCAACTTAGACAGCCTAGTGTCTCAACTGAGGGGGCTGCCCTCATCAGTCTGGCCTATGGGCATATCTGTGAGGAACTGCTTTGATTAACTGATATAGGAGAACCCAGCCCAGTGTGGGTGGTACCATGAGAACTAGTTTGGGAATAAGCCGGCAAGTACTGTTCCTTCGTGGTGTCGGCTTCAACTTCCTGTCCTGACTTCCCTCAGTAATGGTCTGTAAGCTACAAACGGCAATAAATCCTTTTCTCCCTAACCTGTGTTTGGTCAGAGTATTTTATCACAGCAACGGAGAAAAAAACTAGAACATCCCCAGATACGGGTTATGTGGTCAAGAGATCTCTGTAAGACCAGCACTGTGCATGTGTGCAGAGATACCACATGTGGTTCTGTATAGGCTCAGTGTCGAAAAGATAAGGCCATCCAGACATGGAAGCTGTCCAAAGCTCAATCCCCAGAAATCAAACTGCAGAGGGGCTTGTGTCTATCTTTCAATCAGCTATGCATATATTCAAATATGGCATCGCAACTAAGAGCTCAAGAGCTGAGCAGTGACCTGGCCCTGGGTGGAAATGATGAAGCCATGGTCATCTGCTTTGCCGTGAAATCCAATGCTGTGGCCTGAGCTTAGGAAACGGCCATCAATGCAGAGACTGCTCTGCCCTGCACAAGGAGAATGTCCCATGCAAGGGGACTGGCCTGCACCCCTGCCTTCTCAATCCACAGCTCCAAATAACATTCTACACAAGTTCACAGTATTGTTTTAAGTCAACAGAAGTCATTTACTTACATATTAGATTTCTGGCTTTTTTTGTTCTTAAAATATTTCTTAGTACATTCGTTTATTGGATGACGGATATACCAGGGGACGTTGTGAACATCAGAAGACAACTTTCAGGTCGTCAGTCCTCTCCTTCCACTATGTGGGTGCCAGGGACTGAATTCAGATTGTCAGGCTTCGTGACTGGAGCCTTTAAGCAGCTAACCATCTCAAGGGCCCTCTGATGTTTACTCTAGAAGATCCAGTTATTTTTTAAGGTCTGTGTGAGCATCTAAGGGATGAGATGGGAGGATAAGCAGCAGGCTGGCTGCACCCATCTCCAGGGCTCAGGCTCCATCCGCTCTCTCTGCTCTCCTACATGACCTTATTTGACTTTTAAAACACAAGTAAGAAATCTTACAATGGGCCTTACTACAAAGAAGTTTTAAATACTGATTGAGATCTGCTTAGCTGGCACCTTAGAAGCAATAGGAACAGGACACCAAAAAACACTTTGAATATAGGACGTTCAAAACAAATGACACAGTAAAGCCAAAAACCAAAAAATTTCCAAGTTGGAATGAGGCAACACATCCAACAAGGAAGAACAAGGGACAAGAGCCATGACAAGTGGGGTTCTGGAATTAGGGATGCTACTATAAAATGTCCCACCAGGTATCACATTTAGAGAAAACACTGAAAATTAGCATATACAATTTTAGAATCAAAACAGCAAGAAATGAGCATTTTTAAGAGACAAGAGGCTTTCAGGACAGACATCAGATACTTAGGAAGACTTAGTTATATTAGTTTCCCCTAGAGACGATGTAAATTTGCTGTGTGTGCTAGTCATTTAATTTTTAATGACCAGCTGAGGTGTGAGGACGTTGTTCCTAGAAAATACCCATGCTGGCATTTACGGAATGCTTTATTAAGTCCCAACGAACCTCTTGGTTTTTATTGGGCAATTAATTAGACACCAGAAAGTGATGACTAACTACTGAGTGAAGGAAGCAAGGGAAACAAGAGCTGTGGAGCTGAAGGACCTCTGTGTAACAAACAGAAGTACACTGCTTAGAAGGGACTAGTAGATCGGAACCACACTGCGCACTTCTGGAATGCTGGTCGACAGAAAAGTCCCATTAAAGTGAGCAAAAGGGAAATTGTAAAGAAACATAACGGAGACTGTTCATCCACTAGGAGCAATAAAGCACACGGCACATCAACTGTAACCTACGCCTGGCGGGCATCACGGTTAACTGCCAACAGCAGCTGTGCAGCATGGACCCCTCCCAGAAACAAGCTAGCCACTCACGTTTCCGTCACTCCTCTGGCCGCCTTTGTGGGTGATGACCACCACTTCCATCCACTTGCGCAGATGTTGCTGTTGAAAAGAGAAAAAAAGAAACCACCTTCAGACACAATCATGAGAAATCCTGCCCTTCAGCAGCAACCTGCAGTCACTTGATTTCCTTGTATTTAACAGCATCACAATCTCCCATCACAGAAACAGACTAATCACCCAGCATGAGGGGTGACAGGTGTGCGGTCTTGTTCTGCAAACAAGAGGCTAAGCTCCAGCAGGAAAGACCTGACCCAGGCAACACAGTTCCAGGCCTGGCACTTTCCAGTTGCCATCAGTTCTCTGGATCCTGTGCTGGACTGGGGTGGAAGGAGAGGTGGACAGAGACTCCATGTGGGCCAGAGTGTCAAGGCGCCTGCTGTGTACAAGACAGTGTGAATTCATGAAAGTAGTGAGTGGAGGTTGGGGATGAGGGGCCTTCGTAGAGCCTGGATGTCTAAGAAGAGACTGGAAGGAGAGGGTGTTCTAGGAAGGTGAGTGCCAAGGGCTCTGCCAGCTACTGTGGCTGAAGGGACCCCAGGGAGGAGGGCAATGTGATAAACATGGATTCCTTCTATCAGTGGCTGGAGAAAGGACTCTATTCGGGCATCTGCTAGTGAGTGACACCGGGCAGAAGCCTCTGAGCAGCCATAAGATATAAGGATGCACTCACGGGCAAAGAATGTGGATGACTGAAAAGTATGCGCTATGACAAATGCCAAACCCCTGGAAGGACACACAGGCTGCCCTAAGGAGGGGGTGCCGGGGTGAGAGAGAAACTGAGTAGTTTTCCACTTTTTGGGATTTTTTTGTTTCAAGTTTTTTTTGAAACAGGGTCTCACAGTGTAATCCTGGCTAGCCTGGAACTCACTGTGTAGACCAGGTTGGCCTCAAGCTTACCACAATCCACCTGTCTGTCTCCCGAGAGTGGGGAAACATAACGGAGCACACCACCATACCCAGCCACCTTCCGCATTTCAACAGTGTGAATGTTGTTCTTCTCATTTATTCAGTGCATTATAGATAAGTTTAAACCCATTTAGCTTACCATCATCTGATCGCAAAACTTATCATTGAAGGAATTGGGGAAGAGCCGAGTAACAGAGGTCAGCCGATTCACGACATTCAGGGTCAAGCTCCGATAATCTCCCAGCATCATCAGCAAAGGCCGCATGTGTGTATGAATCTGATCTACTTCTATGGTGGCACCTTCCAAAAACTAGTCAAAAAGGAAAGTTACCCAGAGAAACAGGAGGCAGACAAAGTCACAGAATGAACCAACTCCACAGGAAAGGTCAGTCTGCCCTTGGGAGAAGGGCATTAATTTCAGGCTTCCCAGGAAGTACTGACCGTCTAGAGCTCAGCCTTACTGTGTTTCAAGATTCAGTATGACATGGGCAGAGATGCTTGCAGCTCCATGCATGCTGACCAGACAGGCCCAAGGACTGCAGGTGTGGTCACACTCACCTTCCGCATACAGGCTTCTCCGGCCTCCTGCAGCTCACTGTTGGTGGAGTTGAGGGCTTTGAAGAGCGCCGCAATGATTTTCTCCCTGGACTGAGGAAGGTAATTGCAGGCAGCAAGGGCATCTTCAGAGAGAAAAACGAGAACAGTTTTTTTTTTTTTTTATTCACCCAAGAAACAGCTCAGTAATTTCCTTCTCTGAAGGATCCTACCAGGTACAAACCATTAGCCCTCCCTCCTGTTAGCTGCAGGACAGAAGAGCTGGGTTTGGTGAAGCACACCTTTAATTCTGGCACTCAGAGGCTGGGCAGGTGATCTCTGAGTTCAAGGCCAGCCTGGTCTACTGAGCAAGTTCCAGGAAAGACAAGTAGGGGCTACACTGAGAAACCCTGTCTCAGGACAAGCAGGGGGTGGGGTGGGGTGGGGTGGAGGAGCAGGGCGGGTTCTGAGGCTGAGAGAAACGGCACTATGTGGTGAGTATGACAGTTCTCTTAAACTAGAACATCTGATTTAGGAAATTCACAGAATAAGGGTTTAATGCAGAACAAAAGCCCATTTATTAAAGACAACACGACTTAAATCCTAACGATGTTGGTACAACTTGACCAACACAATTTCTGACTCTCTTTAGAAGAGCATTGAGGACTGACATTTTAGACTGACTATGCCGGACCAGCCTACGCTTGGCAGCTGGATTCTCACTGGCACGCACTTACTTAATGCTGCAATCCGTAAAGGCACCAGGGACGGCAGGCTTTTGTAACAGGGCAGCTTCGTCAGAGCCGAATCCTCGGCCTCACACAAATTCAGCAGCTGACAGAGAAAAGAAGCTTTCAGTTCACCCCACTTCTCCCGGGGAACGGAAAGATTACAAGCTGCACTCAACACCAATTTGTCACACACACTGAAAAAAATTCATCCAGAAACAACTCAAAGCCTAAAGAATTTCAACAACCAACAAAGGCCCTGCTTCCTTATCCCAAAGTCAAACTCAGTTAAAGTCACCTGGGTCACACCTGATTGGCTGCGGTGTTGCCAGTTTTCTGTCAATCCTACAACAGCTAGCGCTTCCCCAGGACAGATAGACAGGCCACAGGCCATAGTGCCACAGTCCTTATGATGATTTGCTTTAATTCTCAAACTGGAAAGAGTCTCAGTGGGGCAGGCCTGTAGGAACTGCCTGATAGCCTGCTCAAGGCAGCACCAGCTCCTGGGCGCACGCCTTTCTCTCTGCTGACCGTGGGGTGACATGACTGTCCTAAGTTCCTGTCTGGAGCGCCTAGCAGTGACAGACCACAACCACAACTGTGAGCTAAAAACGCCCTTTTCTCCCTATACTGTCCTTTGCCAGTGTTGTTTTTATTACCACAACAGTACAGGAAAGGATATAGGGGCACACCAATGGTCACTGGGAAGCCCACAAGCTCTAAACCCACACTCGGTGGCACACAGGCACCTAAATGTCTAGCATCTAAAACACCATGTGCCTTTCCTATTACTATTCCCCCTTCTCCCTACGCATGTCTTAGAAAACTGGCTTTCAAGCTTTACCATTTCTTTTAAAGGTTTACTTTATTTTTACCTTTTTATGTGTATGCGTGTTTGCCTGAATGTATGCATGTGCATCACTTGTGCCTGGTGCCCGAGGAGGCTACAATAGCGTTGTATCCTCTGCAGGTGGAGTTTAAGACAGTTGTGAGCTGCCATGTGGCGCACGTGCACACATACATGATAATAAGTCATATATTCAAAATCAAGTTGGAATGTAACCTGTAGATGCTAATCCAGAGCCAGGCAACACTGGGTACCATGTTTCCTTGGATCCCAGGAGCAACACATCTGCTGCACGTGCTGTGCCAGGCTACAGCTGGGTGTCTCTGCAGCTGCCCAAGCCTTTTCTGGAAGCTGCCTGAGCTCTAGCACAGGCTGGCGGTCAGTCATCAGCCTCACTCTCTCACACCATACCTCTGTGTAGAACACCTTGTGCTCCACTACATTGAGATCCATTGTGAAGAGCCGAGGCTGCAGCGTGGTACAGAATGTGTTGCCCTCCATCAGGCCGATCTGTGCATTGGCAGGTTGGTGACGCAACAGGTGCTTCTTTGGTGGGACCATGTCCTGAAGGACCTGGAAAAAACCAAGCAGGGTGCGACTCGTCAGATGCCCCTCAAAAAGAAAAGACCTCTCTCTCATCTTCATATTCCACAGTAGCCAAGTTGAAAACTGACAAGTCATTACAGAGGCCTAAACTTTCATTAGGCGGAGGACATATCACGCTAGAATTACAGTGTAGACCGTGTCAGATTCGTTTTGCTCCTCACATTTGAGTGACCTCACAAAAACAACAGTCCCACGTGTGAATACACACCCAGAAAACCAGCCTTCTTTCTGTTCTTACTAACAACTGTGGACATATATAGCTATCTGCGCATCATGGGCTGAGTGGTTCTTGTAGCTCGGATGTGAAGCAGAGACCCCTGCTGCCCGTGTCAGAAACTTACCTCTTTATGTGGCTCCATAATCACTGTCACACTTTTCCCAGTGACCTGGGCCAGGACCTGCAGCGAATGCATGGCTTGCTTCCTCACAGTTGAGTTTGGAGAGGTTACTTCACGAACTAAATCGTGGGTCACATGGTGAAAAGATTTCTCCTGAGCCACCACAATCTCTTCGGCTCTCTCCTCGTCTTTTAGAGGTGTTGCGCACCTCATCAGGAGCTGCTCCAGGGTGGTCTTCGCCATGGCGACTGCTCCATTGGAAACCTGGAGGTGAAAGAGGCCTTAGAAGGAAAGCAGGGTTATGCCACTCCCCAGACTCCCAGGTCTCCAGACACTGGGGAGGAAGGAGCTCACGGCCACTGTTCCACCATCAAGGAGAAAGACCACTACATAGCATCCACTTGGACCACTGGGGTCAAAATTACCTCATTCTAGGTCCTTCTTGTTTATCCTTCAGAAAAGGACACTACACACGACCTTGCATTAAACAGAGATCCTGGCAAGCCCACCAGATTCTATAAGGATAAGTCAGATCTGCACATGGGCTCATAAATAACCAATGACATGCCTGGGCCTGGCAATATGGCTCAGAGGGTAAAGGAGAGCTTGCTGCCCACCCTGACCATTCCAGTTTAATCCCCACATGGTAGAGAACTAACTCCCACAAGCTGCCCTCTGCCCTCCAAACTCATGTTGTGGCATGAATAAAGGATGTCATCAAAAACTAAGAAATGAGAAAGACAATGTCACACCTGTGGGGACTTTACTGTACCCAGAAAGCAGCATTCCCTGCAAATCCACCCTGAACCAAGTTAACAGGGAAGGTATCCGGAGATTAACATATGAGTTAGGAGCTGTCCCTCTATTAAAGATGCTATAATAAAACCAAGCAAAGAAAGTCTTATAGCTGGGAAGAGTGTCTAAGAGCAAGGACTCTGCAGGTAGATCAGCTCTTTGTGAGTATTGCCATTTCTGAGCCTCAGGGCTACCCACAACCTACCTCTCCAGTCAGGTCCATCATAACAAAGAGCAAAGCTTTGAGGAATGTCTGCTGGTTCTGGAGAACCCACGTGAGAGGAAGCCGCTCCATGAGAAACTTAATGGACACCACACCTCCCAGCTTCGCATACCAGGCCTGCTCATAGCAGCAAGCGCACAAGCGCTCCACGATGTACGAGAAGAGGGGCAGTTGGCATGCCTGGAGGGAAACAAGCCAAGAATAAGGCGGTGCCACCATCCTGAAGCCAGTAACTTCTAGAAAAGTACCTTCAAACTCAGAGGACACTGTCCAGGAGCCCTTACCCTCTCCTTGGAGCCCAGGATGATGCTGGCCACATCGAATATCACAGCCAAGGCCACCTCCCCAATTTTGCACAGCTCCTTCTCTTCATAGGCCATACAGATAGCTATCGCATCAATAAGGACCAAGGGATCCATTCCTTTGGACCCATTCTCTTCACTGTGGAACATGGCTGTGCTGGGCTGGCTGCCCACCTGGTAGCAAGGTAGCAAGAAAGGACCTGGAAAGAGAGGAATCAGGCACACAACAAAGCAGAGGTCATTCATGGAGATATGCATGATCTCCAATTACAAATCAGCTTCATTTTCCCATAGGGTTAGGGACTCACTGAAGCCAGCACTGGTATTCTAATTACATTTTATTGCTCTGCACATGTAGAGACTATAAGTAGGCATGCACGTACCATGGTCCGCATGCCATGGTCCACACACAGAGGTCAGAGGTCCAAGGCAAGGGCTGGCTCTTTCTTCTATGTGGATTCTAAGGATGAACTCAAGCACCCTTACTGGTTGAGCCATCTCACCAGCCCTGTTGAATTAGTACTTCAACCTCCAGTAAACTACAAATGTTTGAAAATCAAGTAGTCTAATTCACATTAAGTCCATTTTTCTGACTGTTTCCAACAACATATTGTACACTGTTCAATAACTTTGGTCAAAATTCGGAGACTAGCACAGAGCTAATTTAGGAGCACGCTTGCCCAGCACTCACAGAGCCCTAGTGTTTAGAAACCAGACTTGCTGATACACATCTGTGTTCCCAGGACTCTAGGAAACTCCAAGTTCCACTCAGCTAATGCTGGGGCTCGGCTGTCTAAAAGGAGAAAGTGTGGGGCAGCTAGAGGACCGTGCAGGTAAGAGCACTGGCCACACAAGCCAATGGACTGAATGCAACCTCCAGGGCTCAGGGGAAAGACAGAACCGACCCCAGGAAACTATTCCCTTGACTTCTATGAGCTCGCTATGGCATAAATGCTTGCACTCAAACACAAATACATACAGCAGTAGTAAGTGTTTAGATGCTCAAAGATGAGCTTTTTAAAATACCATTGATCAGCTAGAGCCTGGGAATATGGGTCTTGTCAGCCATTCCAGACAGTAACAAAAAAACCAGTGACAGCTATACCCTAAACACCTGTGGTCACAGAGCAATTTGAAAGCTATGTCTCTTGGGTCTCCAGCCCGAGACCATACAGAAATTACCAAGATTAACTTTAAAGATGTTACCACAAAGAAACACTGTGAAACAACTGGTGTTTAGTTGTACAGTTCTGACTCTGCCAGCCAGGAAAATAGAGGGGTCAAAGTTCAACAGTGTCACTGGGGATCACAAGGCTCTAGGGCTCTGAGGGGAAACAGACACTACTCAAGTGTGCTCTACAGCTATTACTGTTTATGGCAAGAAATACAGAAATCTTAGGGTATTCCCGGATGGTGGCGACACACGCCTTTAATCCCAGCACTTGGGAGGCAGAGACAGGTGGATCTCTGTGAGTTTAAGGCCAGCCTGGTCTACAAGAGTTAGTTCTAGGACAGGCCCCAAAGCTACAGAGAAACCCTGTTTTTTTTTTTTTTTTTGGTTTTTGTTAAAAAAAAAAAAAAATCTGAAAGTATGCTTTCAGAAACTTAGTGGCAGCTGCTGGGCCACAGACATTTCTACTGTGTTTTGTGGAAGCAGTTTGCAAAATGTGAACACATACAAGCAGTCCTGCCTACACTGTGAGCTCCAGAGAGCCGCCATAGCAGAGGACCGGGAACCAGCATAGTGTGGGAACAGCCAGGGCAAACACAAGCACTGCAAAGGGGACATAAGGAGCTGGCTGGGGGACTTGAGTGACAAGGGGCAGAGGCTGACCTTAGACAACACCACTAGAGGGTGGACGATAAGAAACCATCTTGTTTTAATGTGAATTACATGTACTTCTTCTGTGTGTACACGCGTGGGTACAAGGGCATGCACGTGGGAGCCCGCGTGTAGAAATCAGAGGACAGCCTGTATGAGTCAGTTGTCTCCTCCTACCACCACTGGGCTACCTCACTAGCCCATTTTTGTTTTACCCACCGTTTGTCCAATACACCCAGACGCACTTCACACAAAATGCAAAGAGCCTGAAACTTAAGTTGGATAAAACTTGGTGTACAGTGCTCCCCACTGAGATACCAATTTATCAATGAAGGCCATGAGAGAAAAAGCCCCTACTTTGCTCACACCACAGCTTGACCTGATGGCCCTGGTTCCCACAAGCCGCCAACTCACCACACTGCTGCGCCACGGCTACCATGGTGTAGTGGCGGATCAAGCTGGCTACGAAGGGCAGGGCGCTGGGTCGCAAGTCTTTGATGACTGCTGACATGAACGCCCCTGTCAGAGCCTGTTCAAACGTCTTCCGGGCTGGAGTGTCCTGGGCTTTGTAGCGGTGTGATATGATGACATTGGGAATGGTCTTTTCTGTAAAGCTGAAACACAGAATTCCATCCATCACCACACCCAGTGTCATGTGTAGTTGCCTGAGTGTGCTCCCTTCTGCTCCAACTTCAGCAGTATTTGGTACCGCATATGGACTTTATTTTCAATATTTCTGGTCAGTGTTTAGAGAGACAGCAAATTATATTCTGCTTAACATATATTCCAAGCACAGATTTGGAACTAAATTATGAAATAGTGGCAGTCAGTACTTTGTCATTATTTTCTACTTTACATGTTAAGGCTGCTGTGATGGCAAAAGCACTGGCCACTTTTTAAAAGACAGTTTTGCTTTCATGTGTTTTGCCTCTGTGTATCTATGTGCATCATGTGGCTGCCGGCTGTCCAGGTATTTCAGAGAAGGGCAGGGGATCACCTAGAACTGAAGACATAAAAAGACTGTTGAGCCATCGTGCAGGTTTCACTGCATAAAGAGCCAAATCTGCATAAAGAGCAGCAAGCGTTCTGAAACACTGAGTCATCGTTTCTGCAAGGGATCTGAGTTCAAGTCCCAGCATCCACTCAGCAGATTATAACCATCCAAAAACTTTACAGGAATCTGATGGTTCTGGCCTGAGGGCAGCAGGCATGCCCATGGTACCCATATATGCAAACACACATATGCACAAAATAAAAATAAATCTTTTTATTTTCTTCAAGACAGGGTTTCTCTGTAGCTTTGGGGCCTGTCCTGGCACTAGCTCTTGTAGACCAGGCTGGCCTCGAACTCACAGAGATCCGCCTGCCTCTGCCTCCCAAGTGCTGGGACTAAAGGCATGAGCCACTACTGCCCGACAAATCTTTTTAAAAAGAGAATAAAGGGCCGGGCGGTGGTGGCGCATGCCTTTAATCCCAGCACTCGGTAGGCAGAGGCAGGTGGATCTCTGTGAGTTCGAGGCCAGCCTGGTCTACAAGAGCTAGTGCCAGGACAGGAACCAAAAGCTACGGAGAAACCCTGTCTCGAAAATCAAGAGAGAGAGAGAAAAAGAGAGAGAGAGAGAATAAAGGTTGTTTTTCCCTGTTGCTACAGCAGTGCGTGCTTCAGGAGCAGCCGCTTCACAGTCACCCACTGTCACTTCTGGGAAGGCACTGCTACTGTGGGTATAATGGCGAGTACTGTCGCCTCCAGAGGTCCTGAAGACAGCCCTCATTCTCTCCCAGAGCCTTAAGCTCCAGACCCACCTTCGTGTGCTTTCCTCCAACTGTGATGAGCCCGTGTGTGCTGATTAGAACAGGAAAACAGGATGAGAGGTTTCTGTAAAGCTGATCGAAAGAGAGACCCTACAAGTGGCTGCCTGCAGCGGTACAGTGGCTAATGATGGCAAAGACCTCAGGGCAAGATGCCACATAAGAGTAGAGTGAAGAAATTTTAAAATCTGGGGCTAAAAAAAATGTGGGGCTAGAAGGATGGCTCAGTGGCTAAGAATGTTTGTTGTTCAAGCCACAAGGACCTCTTAGTTCCAATCTCTAGAACCCACATAAAAAGCCAATTACAGACCCACATGTGCTTATAACAGCAGCACTATGGGAAGAGGGGTGGCACAGGATTACTGGGGCTCGCCGATTGCCAGCCTAGACACTGAAGTCCTCCAGTCTCCCTGCACCTGCATACACAAGTAGAAAAAAATATTGATCCTTTTTTACAAAGTTCTGTGTGTGTGCGTGTGTGTGAGTATGCAGGAATGGTGGCACACACCTTAACCTCAGCACTGTGGAGGTAGAGGTAACTGGGTATCTGTGGGCTTGATATGAGCCTCGCCTACATAGCGAGTTCCAGTTCCATTACGGTAGAGGCTGTCTCCAAAATAAAGGCAAAACTGTAAACAGTCAATCAGTGACAGAGTGGGAATGAGACTAGGTCTGTCACCTGTCACAGGCATGGCCCTGTCAGCAGAGCACTTGCCTGGTGTACAAGAAACCTGTCACCTAGCACCTGTGAGATGGAGGCAGGAGGACCAGGAGTTCAAGTAACCCTCAGCTACATACTGAGTTTGGAGTCAGCATGGGCTGCAGGAGACCCGGTCTCTAAACACACACACACACACACACACACACACACACACACACACACACTTTAAAAAGCTGTGCCAAACAGGGGACATTATCCTAGACTCCATGACAGCACGCACACAGTGAAATGAACCCAGACCAATTCTTACTATGGGCTCCCTGTTCTCTCCACCCTCTAAGACCATGGTCCTCAACCTTCCCAATGCTGCGATGCTTTAATAGTTTCTCAGGCTGTGATGGCCAATCATAAAACTATTCTCACTGTTACTTTCTAACTGTAATTTTGCTAGTTATGAATCGTAATGTAAATATCAGATATGTAAGACATCTGATATGCAACCCCGTTAAAGGGTCATTTGATCCCAAAGGGGTTGCGACCCACATGCTGAGAACCACGGCTCTAGAGACTACACAATGCATCACTCAGTAAGTTACATGCTGCCTTGACCACCTGAAGGGACACAATCCTAACAAGCTCCCAGAGAGTCACATCTGTCCCTCACTTCTGCAGGAAGCTGCTGGCCCGAGCACGTACTTGGGGTGTGCCAGCAGCTGGTAGAGCGCATGCTTGTTGTCCTCCAGGCTCATCATGGCCACCAGGAAGCACCTGATCACCTCCCAAGCCTGCCTCCGGTAGTAGGGCTCTGTGTTGGCACTTTTCAGGCAGTCCAGGGCGGTCTCGATGGCCTATGACAAAAAGCACAGAATAGATAGTGTGCACTGTTGCTGTCTTCTGGGGAGAGCCGAGCAGGACAACAGTTAACCAGGCAACCACAAGCAAGAGTTCTGAAAACTGAGACAGTAAAGAAATCTGCATGGCTGCAGATAAAATGCAATGGTGCACAGTGACTCCAGCTTTAATAGTTCACTTTCAAGCGTGTGACCATGTGTGCATCTGTCTATTGCCATGTACATGTTGAGTACAGGTGTCCAGAGGTCACGGTGACTGATCCTTTAGAGCTGGAGTTATGGGCAGCACCACGGATGCTGGGACCTAAGACCGCAGTCTCAGCAGGAGTAGCAAATTCTCATAACTGCTCAGTCAGCTCTCTAGCCCAATTTGATGCTTTAACGACCATCGGGAGACAAGTCGTCAAAAAGCTCTGGAGGGTCCGGTGAGGCAGGCTGTCATCTCACACCCCCAGCTGGATCTGAAGCTCATGAGTTTTTGGCAGTACACATGCTTGCCTGCCCTAAGGGTAGAACCTGAAAGATGGCTTTTTTATGCTTTTACTTCTCAGTAAAGAGAAGGCTATTCATCCACCAGCTCCCTGCAGACCACACGTCTGCATGCAGACATACGAGAACACAGAGAAAGAGATAGCGACAGGGAAACACAGAGGTACAGTTTTACACTAACTCATTTCCGAAGAGTCAGGAAGGAAAATGAGGGTTAGGATAAAAACACAGGAGAAAACTGGACCCTGGTATACCAAGGGTGACAGACAATTAAAGATCTACTTGAGTTCTCAATGGCCCTGGAAATAAGGCCCAGCAAGATTCTAACAGACCAGGAGCTCAGGTTGAGTCAGTCACTGGGAAGAACTCTATCCTCACAAGGATCCTAAATTCCTGTGTAACATTCCACCAGCCCACGAGCATTATGCAAGTCGCCAAGCAAAGCACCATGTAAATTCCCGGGTTGAGTGAGAGCCCCTTCCTTCATCATATGCTCATGCATGTAGTATTGTATATTGAGACCAGTCTTCTCAGAGCAATACTTGTTGAGGTATCTCATTGGTGCCTCCCCACTTCCCCACTTTACCTTCTCCATGGGAAGCTGGAGAGAGGCTTTGCAATCAGAGAACTCCACAGTAATGCTGGGGCCTTGAACTTCAGTCACAACATAGTGCAGCTTCTGAGACTCCTTCAACATTTTCCTGTTGCTGCCGCCAAACTTCCCAAGCACACGGTAGGCTACGTGGGAGATGCTGTCTGCAGGGTTGCGCAGCGTGCGCCACAAAGCCTAAAACATGAACGGACTTTCATTGAAGCTTGGCCAGGCAGCAAGTGCAGAGTTTATGACCACAACTCTAAATGGTTAGATGTGAGGACTCTTCCTCCTGCCTCTGTCCCCTTCCTGGTAAAAGTAAAGGTTTATACAGTCTTACTTGTTTTCCTCCAGGGAAGTCCTGTGTCTTTACTAAACAAACAAATAAACATACATATTTTGGTACTCTTTTATACAAAAGATGGCACAGGATAAAAAAGCAAAGGGTTGGGGCTTGAGATATGGCTCAATGGTTAAGAGCACTGACTGCTCTTTTAGAGGACCTGGGTTCAGACCTTAGGCCCCCACATGCTGGCTAACTGCTCTCTGTGACCCCGTCCCTCTTCTGGCCTCCGCAGGCACTGCACAAATGTAATGGAAATATACATAAGCAAGCACTCAGACACATAAAGCATGTGACTCTAAAATAAAAGGCTCGAGAGCCAGTGAAAAGACAAATCTCAGGCATGAAGAACTTACTGAACATTCTTGTCCTGTGTTTTTTTTCTTCTACTTAGAAACATGATAAATAATTCCATTAGAGGGGTCCCTGAGAGTCAGGAAACTAAAACAGAACACAGCCACAAGGGCCGAGCTATGTCCTTGAATATATATAAACTTGACCACACCTCTCCTGCTCAGTAAGCCTTGGCAAAGGACAGGGAGGTCGTCATGTAGTTGGTTTAGTTTCTGCCAAAATGCTTATGTAGACCTTGTCGCAGTCCCAGAGTGGCCCTCCCTCCACATCCAGGCCATCTTTAGAACCCTATGTTAGGGTTTTAACACAACCAATAAAATATTGGTAACATGAGCTGGGTGTGTTGGCGCGTGCCTTTAATGCCAGCACTTGGGAAGCAGAGGCAGGTGGATCTCTTAAGGCCAGTCTGGTCTACAGAGTGAGTTCCCAGGACAATTAAAGCAGTTATGCAGAGAAACCTTGTCTCGGAAAACAAAACAAAAACCACAACATTAGCACAGTAGAGACAAATAAGCGAAGACTGCATAAAAGCCCACTTGGCTCAGCACTCCTGTAAGCCAAACCTTTGTTCATGATAGCATCTGAAGCAGGACTGCAGGGTTAATTAAGTTCAGGTGTGCTCTGTACGGCACACACCTGGACGGCTTGCTGCAGAACACTGCATACATGTGCTCATACATCCCCTCGTCCATGAGTTACCCACATTTCAGAATGACTGCTATCCTTGTTTTAAGTCTACTTCCTTAACTTCTATCACAATACTCAATGTGAGAAACCAGCAATATTCAAAAGCTTGACATGAAATCTTGGTATATTTCCTTCCATCAAGCAAAATCCATTTCTCTCTTGCTCTTGCAAGTCAAACCACTGAGGGTAGCCTGTAAGGTCCCTCTGCCTCGGGGTGGGGGTGGGGGAGGGATTCTGCTTCTTAGCCAGGTGAGGGTACCCCAAGACTCGGAGGGTGGATCAGGAGAGACTATAGTGCTACTTGTCTTGGGGGTTACTAGACCCCCCAAAACTAAAAGTGACCTTTAACCTTATATGTGAGGGTTCTCGTGGTTAAGCAAACTGAGGCCCAACACTACCTCAGTCCCAGCAGACACTCTTGCTTCCCCTTCCCTGGCCACCCATACACACTCAGGTCAAGACGAGCTCTGCTTTCCAGAACCGATAGCACAGCTCTCAGGGCCAGCTCTGCAGTCCTCCCATGACAAGTGGGCCCCATGCCAGCATCTCCTGGTGTAGAGAGACCAAGAGATAATCTCAGAGCTAACACCAGGGCAGGTGTTAATCTTGCCTCCAAGTCCATGGTGTGGTCCCTCCAATCCAGCATGTCTAGAGGCCCCTGTGTTCAGGAGCTGCTGAGTCTCCACCACGGAGGGCGAGCTGGGACCCCACGCTAGGAGGCAGGCATAGAGTCCCCCTGCCACCAGTGACTACCAATCCCATCAGAATCACAGCACAAACAAAGTGAAAAATGAGGATACTTAACCCGATTGGGGTGGGTGTTGAGACAGGGTTTCTCTGTGCAGCTCTGGCTGTCCTGAACCTCACTCTGTCGACCAGACTGACTTCAAACTCAGAGATTGGCCTGTCTCTGCCTCCTGAGTGCTGGTACTAAAGGTGGGACCCACAACTGCCCAGAAAACCCTGATTTCTAATAAACAAAACAGCCCAAGACTTCAAAACAACCTTGTAGTATCTGTTCTTTTTCTTCTGGGCTGAGGTGGGCACCCATCAGCTTCCCTGCAGTTTCATCATTTTACTATGAACCTGAAAGTCTGTGCGGATTCTGGCAGGTTCTTTCTGGGAGCAGCAGCAGCCATACAGCACCCACACCTTCTGCCTTCACACTGGCTTATGGAGACCACACCAGCAATAACCCTTGGGCAGTACATCCCAGGGCTCTGCAAACAGGCATCACTCTGCCTGAGTGAGTCCAGTGACTCCTTCAGACAGACTAGAGGCCTGAAGAGCTGATGCCCCCTGCTGGTGCAGAGGTGGAAGAGCACTTACCTGCATGAGCTCTGCCCGCACAGGTTGAATGTGGTCATAGAGGAAATCTGGTTGCAGGTTGTCTACACACAACTCCAAGGTCCTCAGCCCTTGGCTGACCAACGTCTGAGACCCATTGAGGGCAGACACCAAGGGATCCATCAACATGGGCAGATAGGGCAGCAGAGAGCTCAGCCGCACCGGCACTGTGAGACACAGCTCCACAAAGAGGTCCTTCATGTGTTGCTTATGCAGGCCACTCTGCAACATGTTCAGGCCTGGAAAGAAGTTGGAGGGGCTTGTTACTTCCCTATCGCATGCAACATCAGCTGTACAAAGTCACAAGCCACTGTTAAACCTGTTAACTGCATCCATGGCCCCTTTCACTGTGGCAGCCGAGGCTGTGGGTCATCCAACGTTTTTATAAACATCCTATTGCACTTTTGTGATGTGTCTAGGCAAAGAGAAAAGAACCAGGCCTGACAGCAGGAGGAGATCAGCCTAAGGAGGACTAAGTAAGACCAGGGTAAGGCTGGACACGTGGACTAAGTAAGACCAGGGTAAGGCTGGACAAGCGGCTGAGCAGGAACAAGGGCCACTCAAGGCATACTGTGGAAAATTCAGTATTTTACATTCCACACCATTTGTACAGAGTAACACTGCAAAAATAATGTTCACATGACAAGTTCTATGTGGTTTGACTTTAGAAACTAATGAAGCTATTTTTTAAATGGAGTGAGCTGCCAAACTCCCACCCACCTCCCATGAGCTGTGCCTGTTTTAGCCCGGCATTAGTCAGTCAGAAGGTTGCACACGTCGAGACACTGCACTCACCTTGGAGGAGGTTTGGGAGGAGAGGCAGAAACTCCTGATACAGGAGGTCATGGCTGCCGCCTCCTATGGAGCGGAAGAGGGCACGGAGCAGGAGGAAGTAGTTGTAGGGCTCCTTGGCGGTCTGCGCCAGCTCCATGGAGCTGTTCACGATCTTGTGCAGGTGAGGCTGTGCAGACAGAAGGCAGACGGGTGAGCACCAGTGAGGAGTTTCCACGTTCTCCAGACGAGGGCTCACAGACCACTGCCATCAGCAGCATGAAAAGGTTATGTCAATGAACAAAAGAATAGAATGACCAGAGTGGTTTTGGCCACCTAGCTATGAAAGATCTACTTAGTACGTTCCCAGATACAGTTACCTGAGAAGGGAATTTTTTTTTTAGGCTGTTGAGATGGGGCCTCATGTAGCCCAGGCTGGCCTCAATTGTGTTAAGTAGCTGAAGCTGCCTTGATCCTACTGCCTCTACCTCCCAAGTGGTAGAACTACATACTAGTCCGTGATTCTGAAGTCTACTGTCACCTGGCAGAGCAATCAAGCATTCCACATGCTGTTGGTATGTGGTCCTTATTATCTGTGTCACACCAAACTTAGAGAGTGTTTTACACATGTAAAAATGGAGTTACTGTAATTTCTGTTCAAAAGTGGAAACAATAAAAGCCCCAGGACTGTGGTGGCTCTCAGAGGAAAGTGCACAGTACCTTCAGCACCCCAGTGGGCCTAGAGAGAGGCACACAGTACTGCCAGCACCCAGTGGGCCTAGAGCAAGGCACACAGTACCTCCAGCACCCCAGTGTCCCTAGAGCGAGGCACACAGTACCTTCAGCACCCCAGTGGGCCTAGAGCGAGGCACACAGTACCTTCAGCACCCCAGTGTCCCTAGAGCAAGGCACGCAGTACCTTCAGCATCTGCTCGTTTTCGGCTGCAAACAGGGACACTGATCCGAAGACCAACTTGAACAGCTTGAGGTACAAGTTGGAGAGTTCCACATTGGAGCCCATTTCTGGCAGCCGGTCCAGGAGGTACTCCACCAGGATTGTGGCAAACAGAGCCGAGGTAGTAGGATTTGCCAAGAAAGAGTTGGCAACAATCTGTCAAAATAAGAAACACCTATGACAAAAATAATCCCCTTCCTCACTCAAAGCAGCTGCAAAAGGTAATGAGTTTCCAAACAAGATCCACGTTGGCAGAGTGCTGAGGAAACCATCACCTGCCGCCACAGGCAAGCTGGCCTCCTATCAGAGCCGAGCATCTGCTCACCTCCTAACACTGACAGCCTGCACTTTACACCCATTAGCTTCTACTCATGAAAGGAGCCTGCCTGCCACATCTGAAGGCTTGAGAACTTTCTAGAACATCATCGCCCAGTATTCCCCTACAAGCACATCCTTAGGGACAGCAATTTCTTAAAGTGGATGAATAAACACAAGCATACACAAAAAAGTTTGAACTGAGAGAATATAAAAAGGCTGGCAAGATGGCTCACCAGGTGAAGGCAACCACCTCCGTGCCTGAAACCAAAGTTCACGCCCTGAGGCACATGGTGAAAAGACAGAACTCTCTCTCTCTCTCTGTCTCTGTCTCTCTCAGGATTCTCTCTCTGTCTCTCTCTGTCTCTGTCTCTGTCTCTCTCTCTCTCACTCACTCACTCTCACTCTCTCAGGATTCTCTCTCTCTCTCTCTCTCACTCACACACACACACACACACACACACACACACATACACACAGGTTAATAGATAGAAAAGGAAGTTTATACCTGAAGAGCGTAATTTTTTGAGATCCTTTCCACCATGTAAGGGACCGTAGTCTGGAAGATCTCCTTGAACGTCAGGGGGTTCATCATGGTGAAGACTCCAGCGAAGTGCTCCAGCACCTCCTTCTCTTCTTTCATTCGCACAGTCTGGCAGTTGGCTACTCGGATGTATGTCTGTCCATTTCCTGCGATCTGGACCTAGAATGGGCGAACAGCCACGGCCGTTACAATGGAGCACCTTCTATTGTGTATTTTTTCTTTATAAAATTACAAGTTATATATGTTAAACAAGGCGCTGAATTCAACAATAAAGGTTATCCTCCTTCTAAAAATCTGTTCTTGTCTCAATTTCGAAAAAGAAGAAACTAGGTGTTCTCATCAGGGAAGAAAAAAAAGAGAAAGAAAAGAAAAAAAACACAAGTAAGAGGCAACTCAAGAGGGTAGAGGTACCGGACGACCACCACTTGATAATAAATAAGCCCGTTATCCCCTAAATGGCTTTTGTCAGAGCATTTCACCACAGTAACAGGAGATGGAACTAAACACCAACATGCAGTCATGATCCCCAGCACCACATAACTGATGATGCATGTGTGCTAGCCCACAAACCGCAAAGCTGGGCAGGTCACGCAACAGAAACAACCCCAGATGCATCCAAACTGGGAGTAAACACCAAATGTTTGTTCCATCACTAGCACTCCGTCCTAAGGGCACCTTCCATCCGCAACAGCCCGGTTTGCAGCCACTTCATACCTGATAAATATCCAAGGCTTGCATTGCATACTTCACAAGTTTGATGTAAATCTGAGTTTCTTTGGGTTGTAGCTGCTTGTTAGGAATAAACTGAGCTTCTAGAAGAGAGAGACTACATTAAAACCTGGCAAACACACCAAACTAAAAATGTTGGTCCAAACAGAGTAAGAGTAGAATTACCACCAGGTGCTTTACATGACGTTATGCCCCACGTGATGGTCTTGACGCCGCAGACCAAGGTTTTCACCAAACTCCGGCAGTCTGTGACTTGGAATGTCTGCTTATCTTCCTTGTCCTTTTCTCCTTGTTTTTCAAATGGGGGCACAGGGGCTGGGGTGACTGGGGTGGCTGGGGTTGGGGGCGGGGGAGGAGGGGGAGCAGGGGTAGGCACAGGGGCTGGGGAAGGTGCTGGGCCAGGGGCAGCAGGGGCCGTGGGCACCCCAGGCAGCGTGGCTTCTGTAGCTCCCAGTTCAGACTGAGGCTTGCATTTCTTAAAAATGGCTGAGAGCTGGTACCGGGCAATAGTATGGAACTTGAGGACAAAAACCTAATGGCAAAAGAAATTTGGGTCAAGGGAAGGAGTTAAAAGTTAACAGGCAAACATCTGAAACCACTTGATGTCATCCTGTCCATCACCACAACAGACATCAGAAGGGGTGACTGCTCAGTCTGAAAAGTGCCTGCCTTGCAAGCAAGAGGATCTGTGTGCAGTTCACAGAACCCATGCAGCAGATCAGGGTATGGCAGCTTGCTCTTGTAAACCCAGCTCTAGAGAGGCAGACAGCAGGGATCCCCGAGGCTGGCTGGATAGGCAGAGAGGCTACAAGGTGAACTACAGGCCAACAAGACCTTGCCTTAAACATACAAAACATGCTGCCGAGATGGTGCAGCTATGAAAAGATGACACATCTGTTCTAGAGGACCTAAGACCCATTTCCAGCACTCACATGGGATGGAATGAGCTCCATGGGACTCTAAAGCCTCTGGCACACATGAACACATGCCCTACACACACATAACACATGACTAAAATTTAAAATCAAATCTTTAGAAAACAGAGCCAAGCAGTGATTGGACATGCCTTTAATCATAGCACTTAGGAGGCAGAGGCAGGAGAATCTCAGCGAGTTAGAGGCCAGCCAGCCTGATCTACAAAGTGATATCCAGGAAAAGGAAAAGAAAAAGGAAAAAAAAAAAATATGATGGGCCTTGAGGACATCTAAAATGGCTCTGTGGTCGAACACACATTTGCACAAAGGTCAACAGCCACTGGTTTCTGAGCTGGGTGAGCAGCATCCTGGAGTGGCCCTTCAGTGCTATGGAAAACCTTTCATCCCTCCCCCAGACACTAACTGGAGTAGAGTATCTTCAAGCTGCTCTAACTCTCAGGGCAGCCCTGCCAGACAGATGCTGACCATCCCGAGACTGAAGAGAAGCACACAGAAAAAAGCAGCTTCCGAGCATGGCTGCCGGCAGGCAGCAGGAGGACCCAGGATTTAAACAATGTGGCCTAACTCCCATCTGGCCACCTCAGCCGCCTACATTTAATAAAACTCAAGATAAGCCATAGCAGTAGGCACCTCCAGCATCCGCATCAAGACGTCTCTGCCGTTGCCACTCTCCTGCTCACTCTTGGAGCGGATGCAGTCCACCAGGTTCAGCAGGAGTTTGCAGGACATGGTCTGGATGCTACTGGGCAGGGACTCATCATCGATGTTCTTGGCAAAGAGCTGGACGGCGAGGGACAGGTCACTGAGGGGCAGGTGCTGGCGAACGTGGTGTACAAGGTCAGCAAGTGTGCTGTAGGCGAGGGGTCTGCAGGAAGAGACGTCACTGTACTCCCTGTAGCCACTGCTGGGACTGCAGTGCTAAGGGAGGAGGGTCCAGCATGGCCTTAGTGCCCACCCAGACCCTTGTTCCTCTCCCAGCTGCTTAACTGAAAGGCCCAGTCTGTCTTGTCGTGTTTCACTCTACATATTGAAAAGCTGACTTTAACCCAAGTTACAAAGTTCCTGACATCGTTGGCTTTTTTGGTGCTGACTTTAGGGAGGGAGGGAAGGGTTAGTTGGCTTACATTTTCAGGTCACAATCTATCACTGCAGGAACTCAGGGAAGGAATTCAAGCTAGAGTTTGAAGCAGCAACAATGGGGGACCCTGCCACTGGCTCAATCACTCTGCTTTTGAACAGCTCAGAATCACCTGCCTAGGGTTGGTGCCACCCGCGGTGGACTGTGCTCTATTAATTAGCAATCAAGAATATGTCCCATAAATTGACCATAGGTCGATCTGACAGGAGCAATTCTTCATAGAGGTTCTCTCTTTTCAAGTAACTCTCTAGATCAGCTATTGACAGTTGATGGGTTCTTGGCAAGGATAAATGTTCTCCTGAAGGCAACAGTTCTCAACCTATGGGTCAGAAACCCTTTGGGGTTGAGAACCACTGCTCTAGATGATGGCAAATCAACAACAACTAACCAGGATAATGCCTAAGTTTGTTTGTGTACTGGGTGGGGTCTACTGTTCAAACACCAACAGTGTGCCAGGCGTGGTGGTGCACACCTTTACTTCCAACAGAGTGCCAGGCATGGTGGTGCACAGCTTTACTCCCAACAGTGTGCCAGGCGTGGAGGTGCACACCTTTACTCCCAGCACTCAACAGGCAGAGGGAGGTAGAATCTGAGTTCCGGGTGAGCCATGGTTACCTAGCTACACTGTCTCAAAATATTAACTAGTTGACAGGTTAATGCTCTATATGTTATGACAACATATTTAATATCTCCTGGGCTATTAAATCATACAAACTGTCCATTAACTTCTACACCTTGGCACAAGTGCATGAACACACACATACAAATAAATTCCAAAAATGTTTAAAGAATTGTTTTTGTCGTCGTTGTTTTTGTTTTTAAAACAACCTAAGCACTCCCACACTTCGAAACCTACTGCCATTCTAAATTCAAGAGGTGAGTAGGGCCCAGCGGCCTGCCTGCATTAGAGCTCTCCCATCATGCAGGCCTTCCTGTCCCTGGACATCATGCCAACCAGGCCTGCATCCTGGGTCTAACAATGCTGTACCTGAGCGTCTCCCGTGCTGTGTATCCAGAGCCAATCAGGATGGATTCATCAAACAGCTTGTCCATGCAGGGGATGAACTCTAGGAAACACGTAAGAATATAAAGGACTTCACAAACCTTCCACAGTGGTCAGTCTGTGGTCTGGTAGGTGAAGAAAAGGGCATAGAAAAGACTAGAAAGGCACTGTGAAGTGGGATGTTGGCTCTCCCCGGGCCACACAAACAACCTGCCCACAAAGACACGGTCAGGGAATGTTTGTTGTTAGAGAACTGACCAAGATGGGCTGGAGAGATGGCTCAGCCTTTAAAGGTTAGGCTCACAACCAATGACATAAGAGAATGAACCAAGACTATGAACAACAAGCACCCGGGACATTTAGGTTCTGGAACAAGACCGGCGTACAGCCAGCTTAGTTCTAAAGTAAAGCACATGTCATGCCTCTGGCCACCTGCAGTTTCTCATCCCAACACACACACACACACACACACACACACACACACACACACAATTAGTAAAATAAATCTTAAAAGGGAGGACAAAAGGGTGTGGCGGTGCACGCCTTTAAGCCCAGCACTTGTGAGGCAAAAGCAGGCAGCCTGGTTCACAGAATGAGTTCTATGGCAGCCAGGGCTACTCAGAAAAACCCTGTCTCAAAAAAAAAAAAAAAAAAGCACAAAAAAGAAGTTGGCTCAGTAGAAGACATGTGTTCAACTCCCAGAACCACATAGCAGTTCACAATTAGTTCCATTCTCTGGATCTGACGCCCTCTTCTGGCCTCTACAGACAACAGGCAGAAATGTGCACAGACCTACACAGATCCAAGTTAACACACACATATATTCATGTATATAAAAGTAAACCAAAAAAATTAAGAAAATGCAAAAATTCCAAAAAAAATTCCTAGGCAGCAATAAAGAAAGAACAGACATGCCAAGACCATGTAGAACCTCCAGGAAGTCTCCAGGCCTTGCACCGAAGATGACATGGCCTTCAAGGAAGAGCTAGCCTTACGGTTTCTCAGCTCCGTGGTGAGGATGTGCTTGGCAGCAATGAGGAGCTCTTTCCTGAGGTGTGCAGTCTCCGCTGGGCAATTGGAAAGCAACTGGAGCATGCCTTTCACCATCTGCTGAGAGTACTTGGTCACTAGCTCCTGCCACAGCAAGGAAGACAACAGTCATACTTCAGTGGGAGGCAGCAGAGATAGGAAGTTCGTCCTATCACAGATCGTTAGGCCTAATAAGCAAGTACCACCCAAAATGTTTTAGTGTGTACGCGTGTGTGCACAGAGCCGTGCAGCCGGTGTCACCCTGAAGGGAAAGTATGACAACATGGACAGATAGATGGCCTTCTGCATGGTCTAAGTGTGGATGCAGCATTTGTACTGCTCTATTGATTTTTAAGTTTCAATAGTAAATATGCATTATTTCCTTATTAGAGAGAAAATAGATGCTAAAACCTGTTTTAAAAAATATTCGGGCGGGCGGTGGTGGCGCACGCCTTTAATCCCAGCACTCGGGAGGCAGAGGCAGGCGGATCTCTGGGAGTTCGAGGCCAGCCTGGTCTACAAGAGCTAGTTCCGGGACGGGCACCAAAGCTACAGAGAAACCTTGTTTCGAAAATCCAAAAAAAAAAAAAATATTCGGGGCTAGAAAGATGTCTCGGAGGTTAGGGGCACTGGCTGCTCTTCCAGAGGACCCCCTTTCAGCTTCTAGCTCCCATGATGAGTGGCTCACAATCACCTGTAACAAGATCTAGAGGACCCAATGTCCTCTTCTACCTTCCACAGGCAGGTACACACACACGGGCACATCTTTTTAAAATAAGCAAATGCCAGGCACGGTAGCACGCACGTTTAATTCCAACACTTAGGAGGCAGAGGTAAGCAGGTATCTGTGAGTCTACCCTGGTCTACCTAACAAGTTCCAGAAAGCTACACAGTAAGTCTCTGGTTCAAAAATCAGTCAGTCCTCTTTTTTAGAGTTTCTTCTCTGTGTAGCCCTGACTACTGTCTTCGAACTCACTTTGTAGGTCAGGCTGGCCTCGAACTCAAGAGATCTGCCTGCCTCTACCTCCCGAGTACTGAGATTAAAGGCGTGTGCCACCACAGCCTGGCTCAGTCAGTCCTCAGTGACAAGAGACTGGCTAAGGGCAACTCTGAGGAGCTTTAAACATCTTTTCCTGACTCAACACCAAGGAACAAAACCTTCATTTATTTATCTGGTCATGATGGTCAATGTTCACAATCTTGCACTCTGACGATTACCGAAGATGGGTTGAAGACCAGCCTGGACTGCATAGTAAGACTATAATCTAAAGTGGTTTTTATCTTAAAACAATTGTTAAACCCTTACAGAGTTCCACGCCAGCGGAGACCCTGTCTCCAAAAACAAAAAGGCTGAGAAACAAATTCTATTGCAACAGATCAGAATTACATTTATGCCACACTTTAGAACAATTGTTGACTGCCCACACAAAAATTTTATTTAAAAATTACATAGCTTGCTGGCATACGCCTTTAAACCCAGCACTCGGAGGCAGAGGCAGGCGGATCTCTGTGAATTCAAAGACAGCCTGGTCTAGAGAGTTCATCTAGAGAAAGGAGAAGATCCACATCTTAAGAAAGGAAGAGATGGGCTTGGGGGAGCAAGATGGCTCAGGAGGTAACAGCACTCGCCATGCAAGCCTGGTGACCTGAGTTAGGTCCCAGAACCCCTTAGAGGAGGAAGCAGAGAACCAACTATACACAAATATACAGGAAAATTTTAAAAACAAAAACATGGCCTACTGACAGAGTCAGGTCCCCTTTCTCTTTCCTACTGACTTCAGAGAAACAGTTCAGTCCTGACATCTCAGCACCCTTGCCTAGTGAAAGACAGCAGACATGAGTTCAGACACCACCCTGGAGAATACGACTCCACTTACATAACAGAAAAGGCAAATCTATGGGGACAAAAAACACAGGCCAGGGTTTCCCAGGAACTGGAGATGCCAGGAAGAAACTGACTATAAATGGCCAGGAAACTTCAGGGGGACAGAAACCGTCTATAAATTAATGCAGTGACTGGAAGCAATGGTCAATTCAAGGACACATGCACAGAAAATCAATTTTGTAATAACAAAAACAGGGTGTGGAGAGAACTCAGTGGCTAACGTCCTGGCCATGCAAGGCAATCAGGTCAGATTGTCCAAACCTACATAAACTCTGGGTTGGCATGGCAACAGTAATTCCACCCTTGGAAGGTAGAGACAGGACCCCGAGCACGGTGCCCACAGGACTAACCATACAATGAGCTCTGGGTTTGATTTTAGAGACTGTGCCTCAAAAAGAAGAATGCAGAGAGTGATCTAGGAAGATTCTCTACACCAACCCCTATTCTCTACACATGTGCATGCATTTATAAACACACATATACACATGTGCATCGCATACTCACAAATACTCACTTACTCAAAGCACACACACATACACATGAAAGAAAAAAAAAAAACAGCAAATCAAATCCATGAACTTACCTGGTAAATTCTGATGATATAGGCTAAAAATGACAACGTTTTGATCTGAGCAGCAATGAAGTCAGCATACAGTTCCTTGTTGTAAAGCTTATGTTGCCTGGGCAGGAATTGAATACAAGTCCAACATCAGTCCTTTAGTGACTTGGAATTAAACACCTAGAGAGACTACTAAGTCTTGAAGTTCCTTCATTTCCAGACAGACCACAGCACCACCGCAGCACAAGTGCATCTACTTTTATACAGTTTCTAAACACATGAAGGGGACTGGAGAAACGGCTCAGGGGTTAAGAGCACGTGCTGTTTACAGGGAACCCAGGTTCCCTGCCCAGCATCCATGATGGACAGCTCAGAACCTCCTGAAACCATAGCTCCAGGGGAACCTGATGCCCTCTTCTGGCCTACAAGGGCACTGCTCTCCTGTGCATATACCCACACATAGACATACTTTTTAAAAATGAAATAAAAATCAAATAACACAGAAGTTCTAAAAGGCCCAAATCAAACCACACCACAGTACTCCTAATGTGGACTCCCATGCTGCATCATCTACGTTCCTCAGTGCACCCGTGTGCTTAACACAAGCTCTGGGAATGGCTGGAGACGGTCACTCCTCAGATGCTCCTCAAGGACCTCACAGCCAGAGGGGCTGCACATCAGCAGAGGGTGTCCTTAAGGAATGCTATTTGGTTTAAGACAAGGATGGATCCAGTGGGCCTGTTCCTCCTCAGCAGGGAGCCCTAGATGTCACACGCTTCAGCTTTCTCAAGGAACAGTCAGAACAAGCAATGCCTAGAAACACTGGGAACTTCTAAGATGAGAGAAAACAAACTCCCAGAGCATGTTTTCAACTAAGAGGCCCAGGATATGGCTCAGCAGCTAAGGATACCTGCTGCCAAAATTGACAAACTGAGTTCAACTGCTGTGACTCTCAAGATGGAAGAGGAGAACTAACTTCTGCAAGCTGACCTCTGACCTCTCCAGCACATCATGGACATGCACACACTCACACCCACAGAACACAGATAGATAAAACTTCACAAAAAATTGTAAAAAGAAACTAGAAAAATCATAGCCACCACCACTATGTCAATAGGAGTTTAAATAAGTCAAAGTGCACAGAGTGTGTTTAAGCAATTGTCACATCTCAAGGATGGGGCAGTGGCAATCACTGGCTGGAGAAAGCCCTGTGCCGCCAGCTCTGCCACGGCCTGAGGAACCCTTACCTGGCTTGTGCAGAGACCTGGATGGCGATGGTATTCATGATCAAGGGCACAAACTCGGCAACGACATTGTGGATGTTCAGTTTGTACAGCTGTAGGAAACAGCAAGCACGGTGTTTTTACATTCATCTACCATGGAATGATCTAGCAGACCACAGAGACCATGAGCACCGGGGTTCCCTGTGCATCTGACTCGCTGAAGGAAACTAGACATGAACTTTCACATGAAAAAAAAATGGTTAAGGGGTACACGTACCTGGTACATTAGTACAACAATGATGGGCAGCTCGGCCAGGACTTTCAGAGAAAGTGATCCTCGGGGAATGATGGAGTGCTGTGAGATGCAGAGAGGCAACCGTCAGTACCAACAAGGACCACAATGAACACAGACACCGACACATCATTGCAAGTATCGGTGGAGGACCCACACTAAGTCCACAGAGTGCTACTTCATAGATGGCAAAATCTTGGGGAAATCCAAAGAGATTCAAATCACCTAAGAAATCTGGGGGTTGTGGGTATGTCTGTGAAATAGGAAGCCTGGTTTGGAGATAAGGCCTCCCTACTCTTGGTTCATCTCCTGTCTCTGCATTCTAAATGCTGGGATTGTGAGCATGCAATACTAGTCCCAACTGTCTGGTTTTTGAGAGAGTCTGACTATGTGACCCAGGCTGGCCTTGAACTCACTACTTGGCCAAGATGAACTTATAACTCACAGCAATCCTACTGCTTCAGTCATGTACCATGTACCCCAACATCCAGTCTCTTTTTCTTTCTTCCTTTCTTTTTTTCCCCCGAGACAAGGTCTCATAATGTAGATCAGGCTGGCCTTAAACTCAGAGGTCCATCCATCTCTGCTTCTTAAGAGCCAGTAGTAAAGATGTGTGCTACCCAGCCCAGCAACACACCCAGCTTTTAAATCCAATATCTGACTTACAAGAACAAGAAAAACTTCAAATGTCCAATTTAGCCTACAGGCTTTATTTGATATTTATATGTAGAAAAATGCTTATAGTAAATCCAGGAGAGGCTGAAGGAGCTTCTTCGGGACTCTTAAAACATAAAGACGGGCAGATGCACACTACCAGTAAGCAATGGACTGAGCTCTGCTTAAAACTCAGTTTGGTTCTCCTCAGCACAAGAGGAAGTCTTGTCTCAGTACAAGCACAAATGCTAAAATGCCTTCCTGTGGGCAGTCACATGTAGCTCAAGCTGGCATCCAATTTGCTATGCACTGAGGCATCTTCAACTGACCCCACACTTTCCTAGTGCTATGATCAGAGGCATGCGCCAGCGTGCTCAGTTGTCCAAAGGCTGAGGATAGAGCCTTGGGCCTTCCTCCATGCGTGCAGGCAAGCGTCCAACAGACACATGCCCCTAGCTCCAGAAAAACATTCTCAACTCAGCCCCCAAAATGAGTCATGGCAAAAGGTCACCACATCTCTCCTACGTGACAAACAGCACTCATTTTACCTCTGCAGAGTCTAAGACACAGATTTCCAGATAAAAACTGGAAAAACAAGGTCGAGGGGAAGGTTCACAAACTTTTAGAGTCATCAAACCAGAGTGGGGCTGAGGACCATCTGGGTCTTCTCTGGCCCAGAGAACTTCAATTTTACCTATAGCTTCAAAGGACTTCTAGCAGATCAGAATCTCTCTGCCCCATGCCTAGCCTGCTACTCTTGTCAGTAAGAGACCTCAGTTTCCTTGGTAGGCTAGTCTTTTTTTGTTTTGTTTTTCAAGACAGGGTTTCTCTGTAGCTTTGAAGCCTGTCCTGGAACTAGCTCTTGTAGACCAGGCTTGCCTCGAACTCACAAAGATCTGCCTGCCTCTGCCTCCTGAGTGCTGGGAGTAAAGGTGTGCACCACCACCGCCTGGTGGTAGGCTGGTCTTTACAGCCAAACATCACCAGTGCCCAAGGGCTCACCTTCACCACCTCCATGATATAGGGCAGGACCAGGCTTGTGCCTCCAGGTAAAGAAAAGAGGAAAAAAGAAAACCAAATGGTCTAAGTTAACTCATTTCCCCCTTTAACAAATAGAGAAGCCACAGATTTGGAAAGAGAACATGAAAACGAGACAAGGCTGTCACCAGGGAGGGAGAAACACCCACCGTCCGTGTCTCGCTGTCTTCCCGCTCAGGATTGACCTTCACAGCAATTGTCGTGATCATGCCCACCATTTCTGGAGGAGGTACTGTGTTTTCAGGGATCCCCTGAGGATTCTCAAAGTAGCGGTTCTGCACAGAAAGAAGACAGTAATGGCAAAACAGTGTGCTTGTCTTTAGTATTACCTACCCTAGAACCAGAAACCCACCCCAGTCACTTCTTTAACTAAACCTTTCCAAACACACTTGGGACAGGTGTTAAATAAATATAAGCAATAAACTCAAGCTTTAACACAAACATACCACAACTTTTGGAAGCTCCTTGTAAATTTGTTTCACAAAATCCAAAAAGTGATGAATCTAAAAACAAAAACCAGAAACGCTTTGAGAACATACTTATAGGGTCAGTGACAGCTCAGGGGGTCAGGCGCTTACTATTCAAGCCTGACACCTCACTGAAGACATGCCCGAGTTGTTCTCTTTACTCCACACATGTGCTTAGGCACACTCACCACCACCACCACCCCACAAATACCCTTTTAATGATATTAAAAGGTAGGAACTACCACCAGGCAAGATACAAATGGGCAATGGACATAAACAAAGCAAAGCAAAACACACACACACACACACACACACAAAGAGGAAGAAAAACATGAGACCGAAAGATACTGATGAACAGAAACCAATTTTCTATCTCAGAAACAGCCAAGGGATGAACACTTAGGAAAGGCCATTATGTGCTCTTAGAAAACAGTGGATTGTGGGTTGGCTGCTCTCACAGAGGAACCAGACTGGATCCTCAGCACCCATGTATCTGGCAGCTCACAACTGCCTATGTAACTTCAGTTCTGGGAGATCCAGCACCCTTTTCTCATCTCAGATGGCAACCACACACACGCTACATCCATCAAGATAACATACATGTATTTTAAAAATAAAATGAATAAACACACGTGTAATTGACTAAACACATGTTTGAGATGATTCAAGAATAAAGACTCTCATACTATCAATCAACCAACCAGGGTTCCCAGAATCAGTCTGAACACATGTGAAGCACTGGAACTGTACTCTTGACTCAGTAACCCCACTTCTGCAAGCCTAGTTAATTGAATAACCTCGTCCATAAATGAAAAATATTTGGCAATAGCCATTAAGAAGAAAATTTGAACTGGGCAGTGGTGGCACACACCTTTAATCCCAGAACTCAGGAAGGCAGAAGTAGGTTGATCTCTATGAATTCAAAGTCAGCCTGGTCTACGAAGTGAGTTCCAAGACAACCAGGGCTACACAGAGAAACCTGGTCTCAAAACAAAAGACAAAAAAAGGGAGAAATAAAAAACAAAAAATGGAAAAGATTTTAAGTGCCCAGAAATATGCTGATAAAAAGAAAATCAAGACTGGAGAAGGGACTCAGGGGTTCAGGGCAGTTCCTGCTCGCAAAGAACGTGAGTTCAGTTCCCAGCACCCACACCGGGCAGCTTACAACTTCCCGTAAACTCATCTTCAAGGGATGTGACATCCTCTTCTGTCCTCCATGGACATCTGCACACATGTCATTTACAAGGCAAAGAACTTGGGCCCCCAAAGCTACAGTTTACCCAGCATCACTCTACTGCTGGGCTACAGAATTGAGATCAAACCAGCTCCAACTTCAGAATTCTCCTTTATCCTTACCCAAAAGAAAATGGTTGGAACTTCCAGTCCATCAAATCCAGGGAGATATCTGTACACTCATGCAAACAGAAATCATAAAGACAGCTCTAAAGAGGAGAACAGTGGAGCATTGAGCAGGAATATTCTTAAAGTGTGCTATGTGCTTCATGAAAAGGCCCTTCCATTACTCAGCACAAGACAAGGAGCAGAGGGAAGTAGGGGATACACAATTTCTCCCAACTGAGGCTCTGTTTTCTACACAGTACTTGTTCAATAGACTCATGTAAGGGAAAGGGCCAGTCAACTCATGTAAGGGTAAAGACCAGCAAGATGGCTCACAAAGTAAAGGTAATTGCTACCAAGTCTAACTATCTGAATTTAATTCCTGGGACCCAAGTCATAGAAGGAGAGATCCAACCACGCCAAGTTGACCTCTGAATACCAAGGACATGCCATATCACATTTGTACACACACACACACACACACACACACACAGAGAGAGAGAGAGAGAGAGAGAGAGAGAGAGAGAGAGAGAGAGAGAGAGGTAATAACTTACTTCTTGCGTGATTGGTGGCCTGAACTGTTTGTGCAGTTCAATAATTATTCTTAGACAAATAAGAACATTTTCTTCATTTTCAGTCTTTAAACAACAACAGAAAAAAAATCAAGTTACATTTTTGAACACATTTTAATCTCAAGATTAAGATAAAATGTTGACGGAAATGGTGGTGCCCGCCTTTAATCCCAGTACTTGGGAGGCAAAGGCAGGCAGAGTTAGGGTTCGCCTGATCTACACAGCGAGTTCCAGGCCAACCAAGACTACATAGTGAGACTCTGTCTCAAAAGAAAACAAAAATAAACCATCTAGGCATTTTCTACGTGTTTCTCTTCCTGAATCAATCAGCTTGTTTTGAGTTGCTGAAAAGTACAGTTCCCAAATCCAGCAGTCCTAGACAGAGAGAGCAACAGTCTTTTGGGCCATCTGAACAGCATCCCACCAATGCATTAGGATAACTCGGAGAAAGGTAACCTAGCATATATGACACAGAGCAAGTCATGCATGAATTACCACCTCTTCCTCCCTTTTGATATAGGGGTTCATGTATCCTAAGCCTGATCTGAACTCACTTTAAGTTCAAGGATGACCTTGAAGTCCTGAGTGCTGGGGTAAGAACTGTGCTTCACAAAAAAAAAAAAAAAAAAAAAAAAAAAAAAAAAGAACTGTGCTTCACCTAGCCTGGTTTATGTGGTACTGAGGATGGAACACCCAGGGCTTCACGCATGCTAGGCACTCTACCAGGCTAGCCTCAAACTCAATGAGAGCACTCTGTGTCTCCCGAATGTTGGTATTAGAGGGGTGTCCACCATAACAAGCCTGAATTGATGCGATGCTTTAGCGGCTAAATGACATCCTGCCTTAAACCAACAACAAAAAATGGCTCACTGCTTGGAAATACAGGTTGCACATTCCTGATCCAAAAACCCAACACCTGAACTGCTCTGAACTCCTAAAGTTTTTGAGCACCTGACAACTAGGAAAATCTATGCCTGACTTCACATAATGGTTTTAAGTCAAAACAAACAGATACTGTAAAAAAGGCTTTAAAAAATTATCTTCAAGCTACCTACAGAAGGTGCCCGTGGTAATTGACCGAACTTCACATTCAGGCTCAGACTACAGCCCTAAAATATCCTGTTATGTATATACAAATACTCCAAAACCCAAAATAAAATAAAAATCCCCAATACTCCCATTCCCAAATATTTGGGGTAAGGGATGCTCAACCCATGTTATCAAAAGACAAAGGGAAAACAATCAGGTACTGAGCAGCCTCTATGGACCGGACCAGGTGCTAAGTGCAGACCCATGCTCTGCTCTGTGAGGGAGGGACCAGCCACGTTCTACCCTCGAGGTCACGGAGCCTCAGAGAGCGTAGGCAATGTGGCCAATGTGGTCAGAGCTGAGGCAAGATCCCAAGACTGTCTCCTAAGAAAACTTTATCTTCTCAAGGGCCTGAGGCACAATGGGGTTCTAAACTCGTCAAGACATGAGAAAACAAAAATATAGCAAACACATTCACCTAGGAACCTAAGGTCTTTCTGAACATGGTGGCACATGCCTTTAATCCCAACCACCTCAGAGACAAGGGCAGGCCAACCTGGTCTACTCAACATGTTCCAGGAAGGCCAGGGTTACACAGTGAGACCTTGTCTCAAAAAGAAAAAAGGGCCAGGTGTGTTGGCAAACACTTTCAATCCCAGCACTCAGGAAGCAGAAGCTGGTGAATCTCTGAGTTCAAGGCCAGCCTGGTTTAAATAGGGAGTTCCAGGTCTGCTTGGGCTGCACTGTGAGACTCTGTCTTTAAAAAAAAAAAAAAGTCTTCAAATATGTATCTTTCTGAATCATAAAGAGACATAAAGAGACATTAAGAAAAATTTCACTCATTTAAGCAGATCTTTTTTTGACAGGGTTTCTCTGTGTAAGCTCATTTAAGCAGATCTTTAGTGAGTCTTAGACGATTGGATTTATAGCAAGAAAAATCATGGAATGTTTTAAACATGGCTGTTAAGACAATTCTCAGAGATTACCTCTAAAAATCGAAACATCACAGACAGAACGTTTTTCGTATGAGGACGTAGATGCTCATTGGTCGGTATCCTGTGAAGTATTTCGAGTACTAGCTTCCGCAGTTGCTGACAAGGAAACACAAAGTAAACCACAGAAGTTCCAAACTCACTGTTTAACATGGCTGACTGTACCCAGCAACACCAACTACCACCTAAGAGGGATTTGACCTTTAGAGACCTGCAAATTCACATGTAACCCACAGTATGTGTGCAGATCATTCATCTTCAGTAACTCCATAACTCTGTAACAACTCCACTGTGGTACTGGGAGGTGATGCTGAACTATAGAATTCTTTTTTTTTTTTTTTTGATTGTTCAGGTGTGCAGGTGCCAAAGGAAGCCAAAGATACCAGGTCTGGCTGGTTCGAGAGCTGTTTTGAGCCATCTTGCCTGGGTGCTGGGAACCGAACTCTGGCCCTTTGCAAGAGTAGCATAGACTCTTAATCACTGAGTCAGCTCTTCAGTCACACTTAATTGTTTGATTGATTTATTATACGTGGGCATATCACAGAGCACATGCAGAGGCTAGAGGACAACCTTCAGGGGTCATGTCTCCCCTTCTGTCATTTAAGTCTCACCAGACTGAACTCTGGTTCTCAGGCTTGGGGGCCAGCACCTTTGTCTGCTGAGTGATCTCAGCAGCCCTCTTTTGTGCCCAATTGACTAATCCGCATACACACACCCCTAGCTGACAGATGCAAATAACTGAACCTGCAGAAAAGATGGATAAAGTCAAAGAGATAGCAGTCCTGAGTGGTTACCCTGATGACAAAACCTCTTTCACTCTTGGGTGAACTTCCATTCTTTGACTTTATTCATTTTCACTTCTGATCCTCCACGTGCCATTTTTCTTTCCCTGCTACTGTGAATAGATTACCTGGGCTGGCTTCTCCTGAAGAAACTGGACTTCTCCATCTTGGAGAAAGGTAAGAAATCGAGGGATGATATGTTCCAGGAATGTAGAATACTGAGGAGACGACGTGACGTTCTAGGTGGCAGTGAAAAAGGAAAGGCATAGTAAGGTATGTGTTTATTTTCATTTTCAATTTATACAACAAGCTCAAAGAGAACATTTTTTTCAATTCATGCTTGTGCCCGCATGAGGTTTTATGTGCACCACCACCTGCATCCAAGTTTCCGAGGAGGACACAAGAAGGCATCGGATCCCTTGGAACTGGAGTCACAAGTCACTGAGCTAGAACCAAACCCAGGCCGGTCTTCTGCAGGAGCTGGATACACTCTTAACCACTGAGACAGCTAAACACTTCCAGATTGACAGTAATCCCAGTGCTTTCAGGAGCATCTGAGACAACACCACACTAAATAAATTCAGATCTCAAGTCTAATAAAGAGAATTAAGTACTAAAATTTACTATTAAAATTGGATATGGTAGGGGGTAGCAGAGATGGCACACAAGTTAAGCTTTCTGCCTTTTTCTTTCTCTGGGACCTGAGTTTGGTTCCTGGCACCCATGGCAGGTAGATCTCAACTACCTGTAACTCCAGCCTGAAGAGCTTCAACATCCTCTTCTGGACTCCACAGAGATCCATATACACGTGGTACACACAAAGACAAAGACACACACACACACTCAAAGGTGGAGCATTTGCCTAGTCGGCCTGAGGTTCTGGGTTTGGTTCCCAGCACCACACGACACAATAGCACAAGAAATTACAGCAATGAAGTGTCTGTCGAAGGATGACTGGCTCAACATATGTGGTGCATAAATACAGTGAACTGCAATTCTCAACCATTCAAAAAAAATCTGATCCACTCCTGTCCTTTGGGGAAAAGAGAACAGCACGCACAATCACTACGCTATACGAAACAAGCTGCTCATAAAAGTAAGTTCTACAGCCTCACTCATGTTAAAGGCTGAATAACTCATATAACCTGAGCAAAAAATACTAACTAGGCTGGAAAGAATACAGAAGAGAGACAGGGAAGGTGGACCAATGCGATGAACAAATTCTGGCTCACTGCTTCAGGGTGGGGTGACTATCAATAACAACATTCTGTACCTCTGAGAGAGCCAATCATCCCCGCATTCGGGAGGTAGAGGCAGGTGAACATCTATGAGTTCAAGGCCAGCCTTATCCACACACTGAGTTCTAGGACAGTCAGGACTATATAGAGAGACTCTGTTTAAGGGGAAAAAAAGGACAAATGATAATAATAAAAATAAAGGAAGCTGAGTGGTGGTGGCGCACGCCTTTAATCCCAGCACTTGGGAGGCAGAGGCAGGCAGATCTCTGTGAGTTCAGGCCAGCCTGGTCTACAAGAGCTAGTTTCAGGACAGGCTCCAAAGCTACAGAGAAACCCTGTCTTGAAAAGCTCAAAAACAAACAAAGATAGATAGATAGATAGATAGATAGATAGATAGATAGATAGATAGATGGATGGATAGATAGATAGAAAGAAGATAGAGGGAGGAGCTAAAAGGATTCTGAATATTCTCTCCATAAAGAGACAGTGTTTTGAGAAGCCATGTTTCACCTGACCACTGTACACTACATGTGGATCACACCACCTGGCACATTGTTCTATATATACATCAGGTTACAAGGCATTTAGGGTTGATGAACTTTCTGCCGCACATGATGAGCCAAGTTCAATCCCTGGGACCCACATGGTAGGAGAGAACACTCCTGTCAATTATCCTTTGAGTTCCACATGCAAACTCCAAGTACACACAGAAATGTAATTTGAACAAAAGTAAATAACAAATAAATTCAAGCAAAGCCAAGAAAAAAATGTTAATGCTCTGAAAAATACTGAACATTCAAGACTGACCTCCAAAGCCAGTCAGCTAGGTGCATGCCTGTAACCTAGCACAAGGATGAGGCAGGAGGATCCTGAGTTAGAGGCTGTTCTGTGCTACAAAGCCAGATACTGTCTGGGGGGGGGGGGGGGTTGGATAAGGAGGGGTGTCATTTAGGTCCTCACTTATAGAAACACTCATACACATAAAATAAACTATCTTTGGAGAACCCACAAATAGTGGTAAAACCCTTTAATCCCAGGTCTGGAGAGGCAGAGGCAAGCAGTTCTCTGAGTTTCAGGCTAGCCCCTCTCTATACTGAGCTACAGATCAGCCACGGCTACAGAAAGAGACACTGTCTCAAAAAAGATAAGACTTTTACAGCAGCCAATAGATACCACATAATGATGAACCACGCATGACAGTGGTCCTGTCACATCCTAAAGGAGCCCAAGAAAGTCCTGCCTATGAGCCTGTGGTGTCACAGGCATCAGAGCACCCAGGCAATGCTCATGTCAACAGGCTCGTGCTGCTCTCAGATAAAGTGCAGCACGCTCTGTTCTGTGCAGTGGTTAAAGCCCACAGCAAACACCCGCACTGTGGTTTCTGGGTTAACTCCACTGTGCGTCTGTAGCTTCTTTGTTTTTTTATAAAGACACACAGGATGGGAGATTCATACTACACGTGATGTGGTGTGGTGTGGTCAGGGGAAGCCCTCAGAAATGCAGGCTGCCATTTGTCCAGGCAGCAACTGTGGATGTATCTGAGTCAGCAGCGACGGGACCAGCCACTGTATCTCCAAGTTCACCTGCATCAAACATGGTGCAGCAGCAACTGTGGATGTATCTGAGTCAGCAGCGACGGGACAAGCCACTGTATCTCCAAGTTCACCTGCATCAAACATGGTGCAGCCCCACGTCTTTGAGGTAGGGGCCTTCTGTTGGTCAGAGAACTAAAGCTTGACTCTACACAAGGCCTCATTCACACGTTCCTTATTTTACAGTTTGGGGAAAAAGGACATAATCACCTGGCCAGCATGAACTCTGGCCACTGTGTCCTGGGGCTTCCCAAAGGCACCCTGCAGATCTTCCTGGAGCCAAGGCTTGGGACAGCAATGAAACTGGAGACATGATTATCTGCAAGAAAATTGCCTTGGAAGTCCCCCAGGGCATCCCATAAGCTGCCTACACACCCAAGGAGGAGGCTGCTTGCAATCCTTACACTCCTTGTCCCCGCCAGGAAAGGAACTAGGTCAGCTCAATTGGCTACAGACTTTCTCGATTTTTTGAGACAGTCTCATGATGCTGCCTGACTGGGATACATAGGCAGACTTCTCTAGGGGCTTGTCATCATTATTTCAATATATGTGTCTTTCAAAGCCTCTGTCAAACAGTTTGCTCGGTTACACACTGGCAGGAGCCACACAGATTTGGGTCATATTAAGAGGCAGGCTGGTGAGACAGCTCACAGGGAAAGGTACTGGTCACTGGACAGCACCTTCCAAGAAACCACACAGTGAGGGAGAACCAACTCCTTCAAGTTGCCCTCTAGCCTCTGCACATGTGCCATGACATGCATGTCTGTGCACATACTTGCATATGCACACACGGTACAACTGTAATTTTCTAAAGAGGCTATGTTGATTGACTGACCTATCCCATCTATGTCTGTGAGTATACTCAATGATGCTCAAATAACAGAACTGACCAGTGACACAATTCTCAGAACACATTCCAGTCATTCAATGCCCAGTTGTTCACAAAGTGAAACCAAAAGCATAAGAGAACGTGTGAACAAATAAACAGGGACTATACAGAGAAATGAAATCCAAGGAGCACAATGAAAAACCTAGAACTGAAGATAAAGAGACTTTAGAAACGTGGAAAACAAACTGAAAATAAAGTTTGGAGATGATAGTATCCTTAAAGTTAGATCAAGAATGACTCAGCCGTTAAAAGATCTTACTTTTTTTTTTTTTCCTTTTTTGGTTTTAGTCCTGACTATCTTAGAACTTTCTCTGTAGAACAGTCTGGCTTTGAACTCACAGAAATCCACGTTTCTGCCTCTTGAGTGCTGGGATTAAAGGCGTGTGCCACCACCTCCAGGGAGAGCTACTATTCCTGCAGGGATCCTGGACTTACTTTCTTACACCTACATGGCTTCCACAAGCTCCATTAACTCCAGGGCCTGACTCCTTCTTCCGGCCCCCACAGGCATTGCATGCATGTGGTACTCATGCACACAGCTGGGCATTCATACAGATACACATCAAACCAAAGATCTTTGTTGGGTTTTGTTGTTGTTTATAAAATCAAACAATACTTTTCCAGTGTAAAAACAAATCAAAGGCCAATTGCAGGCAGAGTCTAAGCGATCTGTGGGACAATATAAAATGGTACAAATATAAGAAACCCAGAAGGGAGCACGGCTTTATTAAGGTGACAGACATCTGAAGCACTGGAATCAGAAGTGACTGACAGCCCATCATGTCAGATGAGCACTCACCTGAACATAACCAATCACAACATAAACTTGAATGCAGTCAAGTGAAAACATGTAAAGAGAGCCCCCTTAAAAATAAAAATGCCACCGCACAGCAACCAAAACAAAGCCAACAACCTGCACATGACACTGAGACTGCCACCAGGAAGACGGCCATATCCTGAGTGGTTTCAAATTCCTGTTGAAATACCACCAGTTGCCTAGACTCTATGGGGTAAACGGCACTGGGGGTAAAGACACTTATTGCCAAGCCTAAAGGAGAACCCACACTGTAGAAAGCAAGCTGTTTGTTAAGCTCTACATGCACTTCATGGGACATATGTGCCCAAGCACAAACAGACACAAAGTAAGTGTTTAGGGGAAAAACCTTTTTCCCAAACACTTTCACACTGTATCCCAGGCTGGTGTTGAGCTGTACATATAGCCCAGGCTGGCAGAGCTGTACATATAGCCCAGGCTGGGACAGAGCTGTACATACAGCCCAGGCTGGCACAGAACTGTTCATATAGCCCAGGCTGGGACAGAGCTGTTCATATAGCCCAGGCTGGCACAGAGCTGTACATATAGCCCAGGCTGGGACAGAGTTGTACATATAGCCCAGGCTGGGACAGAGCTGTACATATAGCCCAGGCTGGCACATAGCTGTTCATATAGCCCAGGCTGGCACATAGCTGTTCATATAGCCCAGGCTGGCACATAGCTGTTCATATAGCCCAGGCTGGGACAGAGCTGTACATATATACAGGCTGGCACAGAGCTGTACATATGGCCCAGGCTGGCACAGAGCTGTACATATAGCCCAGGCTGGCACAGAGCTGTTCATATAGCCCAGGCTGGCACAGAGCTGTACATATAGCCCAGGCTGGCACAGAGCTGTACATATATACAGGCTGGCACTGAATAGTTACTGCCAGTCCTCCTGCTCCAGCTTTCCCACTGCTGGAATTACAGGAGTATGCTATCACAGGCTAGCCTTTGCAATCAGTGACCTCTGAGTCAATAACAGAAAAAGGATCAACTGGGCTGTACAGATGGTTCAGTAGTGAAAGTGCCTGCCATATGAGCCTGAAGCCCCGAGTTCAGTCCCCAGAGCCGACATAAAGGTGAAGACGGGAGGAGAAAACCATTTCCCAGTGTGCTCTGACATCACCTGCACACTGCAGCGCTTCTGTACCCTCCCCCACACCATAACAAGTAACAACGACTAAAGACAACTTTTAGAAAGACTGACTAAAGGGCTGGAAGATGACTCGCAGGTCAAGTTGTCACCCAGATCGGCAAGCTGAAAACCTGAGTTTGATGCCCAGAACCCACGTAGAGGTAGGAGAGAACCACTCCACAATGCTATCCCTGACCTCCATGCAAACACGGTGGTGGCGTATGCACCCCACACACATCTTACACACGATAAGATAGCAAATACTAATAAACACTGAGTGTGAAAATAGGAAGCCCAGGAAACAAAGAAAACTGCAGGGCCATCAAAATGGCCCAAGTTCAATCCCTAGGTCCACATGTTGGAAGGAAAAAACAGAGTCCCCTCCCTAGATTGCCCTGTGAACAGCACATAGCGCCGTGGCATGGACAGGCAAACACACAGTCCAAAATCAAAATAAATGTCATTTTTTAAAAAGGCAAAGCATAAAATTCATACCTCAAAGTTTTCACTCACTTCCTGCATCATTTTCAACTTCGTTTCATCGGCTGTAAATGGCAAAACAAACCATCATGTTACTGAAACTACCTTAAGGAGGCTTTAAAAAAAAAAAATCACTGGACTTAAGAAAGAGAAGCAATCAGATCTTATCAGTTTGACTGTCACAGCCCGGAAGAAGGCACGTGGCTAGGTCCCTACCACCAATCACACCACACCCATCCTCAGACTCACGTGTGCATGCACAGACAAGGATACAGACATACACACAGGCACACACACTGTGCCTCTCTGGGGCTCCAGCAATGCTGTTCATCACTTTGCTTCTCCACAAGGTAGCAAGGGGGAAACCAAGGACAAACATTAAGGTTGTTATTTATCCCAATATGTCAAAAAGGATCGACTCACGTGTATTTACATCTGTGAGAGCTGCCACAAACTGAAGGTATTTCTTCATCAGAGTGGTTTGGTCAACCACCGTGGCCCCCTGGGTTGCAACAAACGCCATCTTTCTTCTGTGTTTGTTTCTTTCTCAAAACTAAAGCACCAAGTCCATGAGCTCACCCAGCCTGTGAAAAGAAACATCCCATTAGCAGCTTTCAATCAATCACATACACACACACACACACACACACACACACACACACACACACACACATAGATGGGCATGGTGGGAAATGTAGGAGACTGGCCAGCCTGGTCTACATAGTGAGTTCCAAGCCAGCCAGAGCTACATGAGACCCTGTGTCAAAAGAAAATACACATACTGTGGTAGAGCCTTTGTCCTGGCTTTCATCACCAGCACTGTGTCAATAATTAAAGAAATAAGTAAACCATTTTCCTCTGCATCACCTCCAAGACCCTGAAGTGTCCAGGAAGCTGTAGATTTTATCTGCAGCCGAAGCACAGATCATACTCAAAGAATGCTTCTTCTTAGCACTACGTTTACTTACTGGGGTCGAGGGAGCTGTGTGCAACACCGCACTTGCAGAGGTCAGGGGACAACTTGGGGAATTCCCTTCCTTCCGTCCACCATGTGGGTCTTGGGGACTGAGCTTGGGTCATCTGACTTTGACCCCAAGCACCACCTCACCGGCCCCAAAGAATGCTTTAAGAGCACCTCGGTGAGTTGGGAACAGGCTGTTGGCCCCGAGCTCCTAATGTAAAAAACGCTTGCTGCCAAGCCTGGAGAACTGACTTCATCCTGGTGACCCACGGGATGGAAGGACAGACTCCTGCAGCTGTCCTGTAACTTCCACATGCATGCCTAACACACATATGCAAACAAACGAATGTTAAAAATAAATAAGTAAGAATAGCTAAGCGTGGTGGAGTATGACTTTAATCCTGGCACTCAAGAGCGATCCGGAACAGCCAGGCTCACGTAATATCTGAGACCCTGTCTGTAGGGAGAAAATGAAAGTCCAAAGCTAAGGAGACTATCAGCCCTTGCTATGGTGACTTGACTAAACTCTTACCTTTTCGCATCACGGTCCCTCCTCCAAACACTGCAGGGCCCTCACACCCAGGGACTGCTAACTAGACTCAGGGTCACAGTCTTTTCTGAAGCCCTAGTCCTGCCCAAACTTTTTATCTAACTTTTCTGCTGTGGAGGTGATGTCCTGAAGCTCGGATAAGGAGGAGCTGGGTTTAGGTAGGGATGGCCTTGATTCTTGACCCTCCCGCACCCTGACCCCTGACAAGCCTGTGCCCCATCACCTCAGGTTTAGGAGGTTTTGGGGAATGGAACCCAGACTCTTTGGTATGCTAGGCGGGCTTTCTATTCTCTGAGCTATAGAGCCAACATCTGCGCAGATTTTTTGAGACACTTATTCCTCTTCTTAGAAGCCATTAAATGTGCCATTTCCAAGCCCCCACCCAAGCCTCCCAGCGGCTCGGCCTAGCTTTCCCCTGGGCTTAGACTCTGACATCAGGTGAAGAACCTATTTCGCCTGTGGATTCCGGAAGGAGGTTTTGAACTTTCCGGGAAGCTATGACCTCAAACCTGGATGCCCACGAGTCCACGGAACCCCTACCCAGGTAAGGAAAAGGCAAACGGCCCCGCTGTCCGCTGTCCTCCGTCGGGTCCGCCCCGCCCACGACGCTCGGCTGGCTTGACACCGCGCCGCCGAGCCGCCAGGGGGCGCTGCAGCCACCGCTACCTTCACTCTCAGCGTCTGGCCCGGAGAGCCAGGTGCCTGCGTGGAGGCCCGCAGATGCCAGGATGGCTTTGGTAGGGCGCCGCAGCCCCCGTGACTCCTCACTCAATCCCTTCCCGTCGCAAACGGTCTTCGGGTTCCCTCCTTTTGTCGCCAATCCTTCCTGAGACGCTCAGCGACCACCCCCAAGCAGGCCGCTGAGCTACGGCGAGCGCCGAGGGCCAATCCCCACGACCGATAGCGCTGCGCGTCCCGCCGTCCCGCCGTCCCGCCGTCCCGCCGTCCCGCCGTCCCGCCGTCCCGCCGTCCCGCCGTCCCGCCGTCCCGCCGTCCCGCCGTCCGCTCCAGCGCAGCCAAGCACCGCGGAGTGCTAAAGACTGCAGTGGGGCAGATCCAGCCAAAGAGAGCTCCCGTGGGGCCTGAAGAACCTCGGCCTTGCCGGGACTGTCTTCTCCGCCCCTCTATGGAGTCGTCGCGCTGCACCGATCTCTTCCCTCACGCCTGAGACACGCACACGCGCGCGTGCATCTCCCGGGGTCGTTCGCCCGCCTGCCCCGTGCTTACCGGGACCTGCCAGCTGGCTTCCTGTATCGGATCCAGGCCGCCGGCGAACTCTCCGTCCTCTCCGTCGTCTCCGTCGCCGCCGCCGCTGCTCTGCGTTCAGTCCCGCCCCTACTTAAAGCCGCGGCGTCCGCCCACCGAGAACTGAGCCAGGATGCACCGCCCCCAAGTGGGTGCGGCTTGGGCGGGCGGCGGGGCAGGGAGGGCGGCTGTGGCCTGGATGGGCGAGCTGTCCTTTTAAATCATCGCCTTGGGGTGACCTACCTACCTGGGAAGCACCCAGGCCTGAGGGGCTGTGAGCTGCTGCAGCTTCAAGATTCGTGATCCCTAAATCCTTTTAACCCGCAGGGGCCAGGCTGAGGGGTGATGGACACCCGAAATACCTATTCAGTTCGTCCGCAGTTAGACTGAGTGCCTGTGTGGCCTTCAGGGCTGGACTTCCCTTCTCTGAGACGTCTTTTTTTCCCCTCTTCCTGCAATGCTGGATGTTGAACTTGGGGTTTCACATACACTAGGCCTAAGTTCTACTACTGATCTATAGTCTCAACCACCTGAGAGTCTTCATAGTTGATGCAAGCGGGAAGAGGCAAGGAAGGCTTTTTGGGGGTGGGGAGGTTGCAGATGGACTGTCAGCTTGTTAAGCAGCTAGGTCACCCCGAGACAACCACATTTGTCCTGCTTATAGTTGATACCCTCCATCCAAGACAAAATTAGCAGTAGACAAGCCGGGCGGTGGTGGTGCACGCCTTTAATCCCAGCACTTGTGAGGCAAAGGCAGGCGGATCTCTGAGTTCGAGACCAGCCTGGTCTACAAGAGCTAGTTCCAGGACAGGCTCCAAAACCACAGAGAAACCGTGTCTCGAAAAACCAAAAAAATAAAAAATAAAAAATAACCCTGGCGTTAAGACGACCCTTTAAAAAACGTGCTTCGGTATTTGTCTGTTGTTGCCACAAAAGAACTAGCTGTAGCCGAAACCCTGGCAATGTGGGGATTGTTTCTAATGACATTTTCCCCTCCCTCCCGCAGGAAGTTGTCTGTTTATAAATAAAGTCTATGTTCTGCCATTTATCACAGCCTCCAAAACAGGCAGGGTTAAAGTTTGAGAAGGACCTAAAACGGATCAAATCAGTTCCCTGCGAGTTGTTTTGTATCTTTCCAGAGACAGAGAAAAACAGGGTAGGGGCCAGTGAGATTGCTCAATAGATTGCTCACTGGGTTGCAGCTCGGAAGGTGGAATGCTTACTTCGCACATAGGAAGTCCTGGGTTTCATCCTATACTTTGCTCTCGCCTGTAATCTCAATACTTTGTAGGTGAAGTGTTGCAAGGCAGTTACTTCCCTCTGGGCATAACATGTTTACCTCTTTGCTACCTTGGAGTTGAAACCAAATGCTGGATGAAAAAGCTCAGGACCTGCGTCTGAGTTAGATCTCCGGGACCTGTGTGAAGGAAGGCGAGAACTGACTCCACAAAGTGCTCCACTGACTTGCACAGGGATGCCCTTGCACGCTCACGCTTACAGGCACCATGTACACACACAGTAATGATAAAAAAAAAAACCAACAAGTACATTTTACTAAAGAAAAACATGTCAGACATGGTAGACAATCTTAATTCCAGCTCTTGGGAGACAGAGACAGGAGGATCTCTGTGAATTTGAGGCCAGCCTGATCTACCTGATGAGATCCTGCCTCAAAAGAAAGAGAAAAAAAATGTCCTCTTATGGGACTCATAACAGCAGGAATGGGGGCTGTCTGACTCTTACTGGCTTCTGGGACCATACTCCACATACTGGGTTGCCTTGCCCAGTCTTAATACGTGGGAAGGTGCTTAGTCTTACTGCGACTTGATATGCCATGTTTTATTGATAATCATAGAAGACTTGTCTTTTCCTGGATGAAGATGGAAGAGGATGGAGGAAAGGGACTGGGAAGGGAGGATTGGGGGGCCGGGCTGGGACTGGGATGTAAAACAGATGAATTTTTAAGAAAGTAAAAGCAAAGCAAATCTATCTTTCATAAACTCCAGGTAAATTGCATATCACACATGCCTATAATTGGTATGTATATAAGCTCTAACATTGACACACACACACACAAAAAGAAAACCTCTCTCCCTCATGGTACAGTTCTTTCTATCAAGGTAATCACTTTGTTAGAGTTTTGCTTATTTGTCTCCTGAATTCCATGTTAGGTACTGGGTCAACTTCATCCCTATTCGGCGATTTAAATCAAATCTCTCCTCTGCTTAAAACCTACAAAGACGTTGCAGCTCATCCAAGGTGTTCTGGGCCTGCGAGCCCGCCACACAGCCTTGACGAATCACCTTTCAGCTACTGCAGTCCTGTCTTAGGTCCTTTCGAGTTTATCTCCCTATTTGGTATGTTCTTCCCTCAGAGACACTGAGTCTTATGCAACTAAAATATCACCGACTGCACTCAGAACGTAGAATGGTTGTCTAGCACATAGGGCCATGGATTTCATCTCAAACAAGGCAGTTACTTCCCTCTGGGCATAACATGTTTACCCCATTGCTGCCTTGGAGTAGAAACTACAGAGACCAGTAGTCTTGACAATCAGAAAAGGATGATGCAGAGATAGCCAGGTTTATGATACTGTTAATGGAGCTATTTATAGTCCTCAGTAGAAAAGGGGAGCTCCTTTGTCAAAAATCAGGTATTCATAGGTTTGTGGATTAATATCCGGGTCTTCGATTTGATTCCATTGGTCAACGTCTCTGTTTTTATGCCAACACCAAGCTGTTTTCATTACTGTAATAGAGTTTGAAGTCAGGGATGGTAATGCCTCCGGAAGTTCCTTTATTTTATTTTATTTTATTTTTTGGTTTTTCGAGACAGGGTTTCTCTGTGGTTTTGGAGCCTGTCCTGGAACTAGCTCTTGTAGACCAGGCTGGTCTCGAACTCACAGAGATCCGCCTGCCTCTGCCTCCCAAGCGCTGGGATTAAAGGCGTGCGCCACCACCGCCCAGCTCCTTTATTTTATAGGATTGTTTTGGCTATCCACCTGTAGAAGAATGAAAATAGAACCATATCTATCACTATGCACAAAACTCAAGTCCAAATGTTTTAAAGACCTCAATATAAATCTGACCACAGTGAATCTGATAGAAGAGAAAGTGGGAAGTAGTCTGCAACACATGGGCACAGGAGACCACTTCCTACATATAACCCCAGTAGCACAGACAATAAGAGCAACAATGAATAAATGGAATCTCCTGAAACTGAGAAGCTTCTGTAAAGCAAAGGACACTGTCATTAAGACAAAAAGGCAACCTACTGAATGGAAGATCTTCACCAGCCCCGCATCAGACAAAGGCCTGATTGCCAAAATATATAAAGAACTCAAGAAACTAGACAGTAAAATTCTGAATAACCCAATTAAAAAATGGGGTATTGAACTGAACAGAGAATTCTCAACAGAAGTTCAAATGGCCAAAAGATACTTAAGGTCATGTTCAACTTCCTTAGCAATCAGGGAAATGCAAATCAAAACAATTTTTAGATACCATCTTATACCTGTCAGAATGGCTAACATCAAAAACACCAATGATAACCTATGCCAGAGAGGATGTGGAGTAAGGGGAACTCTTATCCATTGCTGGTGGGAATGCAAACTTGTGCAACCACTTTGAAAATCAGTGTGACGGTTTCTCAGAAACTGGGAATCAACCTACCTCAGGATCCAGTAATACCACTCTTGGGAATATACCAAGAGATGCCCAATCATACTACAAAAGCATTTGCTCAACTATGTTTATAGCAACACTTTTTGTAATAGCCAGAACCTGGAAACAACCTAGGTGCCCCTCAATGGAAGAATGGATAAAGAAGGTGTGGCACATATACACATTAGAGTTCTATTCAGTGGTAAAAAAAAAAAAATGACATCTTGAATTTTGCATGCAAATGGATGGAAATAGAAAACATTTTACTGAGTGAGATAACCCAGACCCAAAAAGATGAATATGGTATATACTCACTCATTAGTGGATTCTAGCCATAAAAAAGGACATTGAGCCTATAGTTGGTGATCCTAGAGAAGCTAAATAATAAGGTGAACACAAAGAAAAACATATATTTATCCTCCTAGAAATTGGAGTAGACAAGATCGCTGGGCAAAAGTTGGGAGAATGGGGTAGGGGTGGAGTGGGGGGAAGGGGAGGGGGGAGAGAGTAGGGAGAAGGGGAGGATTGGGGAGATCTTGAGGGAGTGGAATGGTTGAGATGGAGGAAGGGTTGATATGGGAGCAGGAAAGAAGATATCTTAAGGGAGCCATTTTAGGGTTGGCAAGAGACTTGGCTCTAGAGGAGTTCCCAGGTGTCCAAGGGGCTGTCCCCAGCTAAGTCCTTGGGCAGCAGAGGAGAGGGTACCTGAACTGGCCTTGTCCCACAGCCACACTGATGACTATCTTGAATATTACCATAGAACCTTCATCCGGCGATGGATGGAGATAGAGACAGAGACCCACACTGGAGCACTGGACTGAGCATCCAAGGTCCAGATAAAGAGCAGAAGGAGGGAGAACAGGAGCAAGGAAGTCAGGACCACGAGGGGTGCGACCACCCACTGAGATGGTGGGACTAATCTAATGGGAGCTCACCAAGGCCAGCTGGACTGGGACTGAATGAGCATGTGATCAAACCAGACTCTCTGTGGCTGACAATGGGAGCTGACTTAGAAGACAATGATAATGGCACTGGGATTTGATTCTACTGCATGGACTGGCTTTTTGGGATCCTAGGCTGTTTGGATGCTCACTTTCCTAGGCCTGGATGGAGGTGGGAGGGCCTTGGACTTCCCACAGGGCAGGGTACCCTGCATTCTCTTAGGACTGGAGAGGGAGAGGAAGGGGGATTAGGGGGAGAGGGAGGGAAATGGGAGGAGGAGGAGGAGGACATTTCTAATAGTAAAAAAGATACCAAAGAGATGGAAAAAATAAGTATGGGGAGAATAGAATTTTTGGGAGGTAACAAAATTTGGCCTACAATAGTCCTTAGATTTTTGGTTTTCTTCTGTCCCACACCAGGAGGCTCTTCTGACATGAGACAGAAACCTTCTCTCAGAGAAGAAGAGAGCCGCACTCCAACTCCAAAGTCAGCTTTGTTTTTTACTTGAGTTGGGACAACTTTTCTGAGAAGTGAAGAGATATAGATGTTAAGGTAGTGAGATTTTACCCTTCAGCGAATATTAGAACCACAGATCAGATTTTTCTTTACTTGGTAGTTTTTTTTCTGGATAGCATCCCTTTCTTCTTAGACATCTAGATGTCCAAGGTCTTTTATTTCTTTAAGGTGGGCATCTCTATTTTCCTGTATAGACAAAATCAGAACCCTACCCTGACCCTCATGAGGTTTCTTTACAACTTGTAAGACTGTCACATCGGTGGATGAGCTATCATTTCTCCTTATCGCAAGGTTTCTGCTGTTTGAATAGAATCCTAATTAATTTTGATTGTATCCATAACTTCTTATCCCGTGGAAACAAAAAGGAAACCCCTTCCTCAATGTAGCACACATCCTGGTTTCCACTCTGAGGTCAACACATCTTTGAAATACACCAGCTGATTTAATTCAGAAGTTTTTTCTGTTGGCCAATGTCTCTCTGCAGCTGTTGTTCCTTTCTCATTAGCATCAAGAAGATTCAAAGTTAATAAGGCATTATGCAGCTGGGCGGTGGTGGCGCACGCCTTTAATCCCAGCACTCGGGAGGCAGAGTCAGGCAGATCTCTGTGAGTTCGAGGGCAGCCTGGTCTACAAGAGCTAGTTCCAGGACAGGCTCTAAAACTACAGTGAAACCCTATTTTGAAAAACCAA